CATTAAATTCATTCACATTGTTGACCACCCATCACCCAAACTGAAATTACATACATCTTAAATAACTCCCACCCACCAGTCCCTGGAAACCACCATTCAACTTTGTGTCCTTACTCATGTAAGTAGAGCCATATAGAATTCGTGCTTTCTATGACTGGTTTGTTTCACATATCATAGTGTTCTCAAGGTTCATCTGTGTTGTAATATGTGTTAGGATTTCCTTCTTTTTAAGGCTGAGTGATACCTCATTATGTGTGTATGTGGCAGTCTGTTTATTCATTCATTCATCCACTGCCACATACCTGGGTTGCTTCTGTCTTTGGCTGTCATGAATAATGCAGCTGTGCACATGGATGTACACATATCTGTTCATGTCTCTGCTTTCAATTTATCTGCGTGTATACCTACAAGTGGGATTGCTGTGTTATATGCTAATTCTGTGATTAGTTTTTTGAGGAACCACTGTACTGGTTTCTACCTTTTAAGCATTTGACCTTTCTACCAGCAATGTACAAGGGTTTTGGTTTTTCCACATCCTCTCCCAGAGTTGACAAAATGCCTGAGTTTGTCCTGGGACACAGAATGGGGGGGGGTCAGTGAGGAATGGAGCAGCAACCAGCAAGGACTTATTATTTTAGCTCTCTGTACTCAAAATAGAGGGTCCTGGGGAGACAGGGAGAGAAAGCAGAGCAGAGAGGCACTGGTCAGTTGAACATGTTTGACTGTTTCTTTGCTACAACTGGAATCAGTTGTGACTTATGGTTCTGATTCTACTGAAAATTCAGACACAAGGAAGATTGTTCTGGGCTAGGGTGTTCAAGGAAGATACCATGAAGATAAACCAGTTAGGTATTAAAAGAAAAACATGATTTGTTTTTAACCTTTAAAACATAAATATTTTTATTACACAAAGGATGTATGTTCTTTGTGGTAAAATTGGAAAATATAAGTAATATAAAGAAGAAAAGTCAAAGCACCCAATGTCTCACTAACTAGCTGGGTCTTGGTGTGGTTCCCTCTTTCTTTTGCGTGCCTCTCCTTTAGGTAGAATTTCCCTGACTCTTTCAGGATGCCAAAAGCAGAATGTTCTACAGGTGCTATGGAGGGCTCCATTGCATGGATGGTAAGAGTAGGATTTGGGTAGGGTTTGGGATGGGGTCCTGATGCTGGCAAAGTGGAAGGTGGGACATATTTTGACCCCAGACCCTCTAGAGGGTCCTTTTGGACTCCACTTGCTGAAGGTGTCCTGTCTCTACAACCCTGTGTCCCTACACAATGGTGAGAGTAGAGAGGGTACAGCTGTCTCAGGGTGGATTCTCTCATCAGTGGAGTTTGTGCATACACCCATGTATTTAGCATCCCATGTCCTTGGCTTGTCCCTCTTTTTCCAGCCCATGCCTTCAGATGGCTCCAACTGCTGTCAGCTCCTCTGTCCTCCTCTCTTGTCCTTTTTCTACCACCCCTTGGAAAACAGCCCTCTGGTGTCTGTTCACACCTGGTGGTGTTAACTCACCAAATGGATGTGAATGACTCCGCTCTTCCTTTACCTGACCAGAACCCTTACCAGAACCATGAACCCAAGTGACTCTCTAGGCTAGCTGATTTGGAAGAAAAGGAGGGGTCACAAACAGATGGCTGACTAATGCAAAGGCCCAGCCCACGCACTGGGGGCCTCCCATGTGCTTCCTGGCCCAACACCATGAGGCCCAACATCCTAGGAGGTGGCTGAGACCTTGCTACTCCCCCTTCCCACTCCATTCCCCACCCTCATGACCACTGACCTGGCTCAGGATACAGGATACAGGGCAAGAACCCTAACAGTGCCCAGGGCTGAGAGAATCTGAGGGACTGGTTGTCAGCAGTGCCAGTTTGCCCAGGCTACTGCCAGAGCTCAGTCCTGAGTGTCCAGCAATGCCGTAGGATGTGGCTCTGTGTGCAGAGGCAGGACCAGATACAGATAACTGTGTAAAGACACAGGGCCTGATGGCAGCAAGAGGACACAAGTGTGAGGAAATCGTGGACAGAGCTGAGCTGAAGCTATGCTGGGAGGAGAAGGGCCCATGTGGTAATTGGGATGAATGTGCCTTGGGCTCACCTGTGCAGTAAAAGGTGGGTGAGCAAGCATGAGTGATGGCGGGGCGGGACGAGGTGGGATGGGATGTTGGGGGGAGATGTGTGGAATAGGACAGTGTCTCCCTCTCCTTTTCTTCCTGTCCTTCTTGTCCTCTCATTTGCAGCATCCCTATCACCTGTCTTGTTTCTCCCACTCTTTTTGCCCTTCCTCCTGAGGCAGTTGCCTCTGCTGAGCCGGGCTGGGACTAGAGGGCTGGAGGAGCTTGGGTATGGGAATGGCTCTGGGCACAGAGTCGGGGGCTGCTCCTGTGCTTTTCCTGGGAGTGAACAGCCTGGCCCCTGATGTGTTCCTTGGTGGCCCTGTCTGTTTCCACCTACCCTGATGGTTTGCCTTTGTGTGTCCAGTGAACAGCTGCAGAGAACATCCCTTTCAGTTGGGGCCACAGCAGCCCAGCACAAGCCCCCATGATAGCTCACACCTACATGCCTGTCCACTTGCTTCTGCCCCATAGACAGTGCCAGAGAGTTGCATTATGCTTTCATTTATTTAAGTGTCTGAGGGGCCTACAGACAGCATACTGTGTATTGGTTCTGCTTCTTCCATTCGGGTTATCTGTGTGGTCTTGGTTGGGGATGTACTGTTTCTGTGCCTCAGTTTCCTCACCCATAAAAACAAGGATACTGACCTCATGGAGTGACTGTGAGGCTTAAACGAGTTACTGCATGTAAGGAGCAGAAAACTGTGTGTTTTAAAATGTAGGTTTTATTAGGTACGGTGAGGCTGACACCGGCGAGAAGATTATTGCCCTTGAAAAGATTGCAGTAGTTCTCAAAAGGAGGAGACATGCCTCCCTGGGCCATATGGGGAGGTCAGAGCCAGCCAGAAGGTAGAGAGAGGGGAGGAAAACATAGGCCAGAGCCTTTATTATGCTCCCTTGGGAAGAAAAGGCTGGCCAGTTTGAGTAATTTCATGGAGCTCTAGGGTATGGGAGCTGTCCCCTATTGTCTGGTCTGATCAGATCAGATGATGGGGGTGGGGGGAACTAGTCTGCAGAGGGCTCTGGGCTGGTTAATTTGCATATAAAAGACACTTATTTCTATCTGACTACCCCTCCTAGGGACAGTAAGGCCTCAGATGTCATAACACAGAATAAAAAAGACATGCTTAGCCAAAGACCTGCTGACCCCCCAGGGGTGGTCCAGTGTTTTTAGTTAAACTGGAGGAATGAGTAATAACTACTTGAGGTGATGAGTATGTCTAATTAGCTTTATTTGATCCATATTATATTCATATTGTATATCATACAAATATATACAATATGTACATTTGTAATTTGTCAATGTTCAATAAAAATAAGAAGATATGTTTAATACACTAACACATTTTTGATATAAAATGAATAAAAACGACAAAACGTATTTAATGTCACATTCTTAATTTTACAAATTGGACTCTGGGTCCTGGAACTTCAAGAGTCCAGAGGTTGTTGGAAGAGCATAGGGCCTTAAGATCATTCTCGAGCTGGCTTTCCTCTCTGAGGCCCCATCCCTGTTCTGTGATCTGGGCATCCCAGCCCCTCACTGCAGGGCTGCTGGAGGACTCAGTTGGGTTTTAGTGGTTTTTTTTTTTTTTTTTGCAGTCCTGGAGTTTGAATTCAGGGCCTCATGCTTGTTCAGCAGGTGCTCTACCACTTGAGCCACTCTGCCAGCTGGAGAACTCAGTGGGATGATGCGGCTATTAGGATCATCTCAGTAATGAGAGTTAGTACATTTTTATGTTCCTTTTAAAGGAAAACAAAACAAAAACTTGAGGAGCCCTTACACATTCTAGCCCCAGGGCCTTTACTCTCTTCTGGTAGAGTGTTTTGAAGGAAAAGAAAGATGTTTACAACCTAAGGGACATGAGCTACAGAGATGGGTAAAAGATCCATAGCCAGCTGATACATCTGGCTGAGCGCCTGGATGGTGAGGCTGGAAGTGCTGGCCAGTGATTAGAGGTTTCCAGATGTTACCTGGTAGGTCTCCCTTTCTTGCCTTCCTGGGTCTCTTTCAGTCTGTCCCTGCCAGAGGATTCCCTTGGAATGGAGGTCTTGGGGTATGCTTAGGGTTGGATTCCATTCTGTATGGGACTGGGAAAGGAGATCTTTATGGAGCTCTGTTCTGGCCTTAAGCACTTTCTGGAGCAGGTGTATAAAAGGCCTTCGCTCTTAGGTCCTGCTTTCTTGGGGGCACTGCTGAAGAGGTCAACAGGGGTGGGCCTAAGAGGCTATTGGGAATTGGGGTACACACACCCCAAGTTCCATGCCTTTCTGCCTCCTGTCCTGTTGGTTGTGAGTAAAGGTGCAGTGAGAGTTCAGGAAAAACAGAAGCAGGGCTCCCAGTCGTGGGAGAGGCCAGCATCCTTGGCTCTCCAGGGTGAGGCCTCTTCCCCTCCCCAGAAGCTGCTTGGAGCCCCCTAGGACATTTGCTGGCCACAGCCCTTCTATGGCCAGCTGGATCCTGGCTGCATCCACCACTTTTCTTCCCGTATAGAGGCCTGTCTTAGTCTGTTCATACTGCTGTATCAGAGCACCAAAGTGGGTGGCTTGTAAGCAACTTTAATTCTCCTAGTTCTTGAGGTTGGAAGTCTGAGATCAGGGTGCCCACATGGCTGGGTTCTGATGAGAGCCCTCTTCCAGGTTGCAGTTGGCCATCTTTTCATATTCTCACATAGCAGAAAGCAGAGAGCCAGGAAGCAAGCTCATGTCTCTTCTTTCTTACAAGGGTGCTAATCCCATTCACAAGAGCTCTACCCTCATGACCTTAATCACTTCCAAAGGCCCCACCTCTAACACTATCACAGTCAGAATTAGGATTTGCTGTATGAATTTGGGGGACCCAGACATTCAGTCTATAGCAGTGTCTTCCTTCTCCACCTGTCTCCCCAGCATCCTTTTTGCTGACATCGAGGGCTTCACCAGCCTGGCATCGCAATGCACCGCCCAGGAGCTGGTCATGACCCTCAATGAGCTCTTTGCCCGCTTTGACAAACTGGCTGCGGTGAGTTACCCTAAGCTTGGGTCAGAGGTGGTCTGGTTGAGGGAGAGTTCTGAGGTCAAGGACCTGATGACCCCCAGGGGTGGGCAAATGCTAGGGTGTGTGCTACTGGGCAGAAACTGCTGTTGGGAACCCGTGGTGGGCAGAGGGACAGGCTGCAGCTGTATGTCCTCATTACCCATGTCAGCCCTGACCATGCAATCAGAGCTGCTTTCCCTTCCATGATGGAACAGGCACAGAAGCTCTCTACACCTCATGTGTGGAGAGGGTGGCAAGGTTTGCAGCTCATACTGCCCACCACCCCTGCAGAATTTCGGTTTAGGGCAAATCAAATGTCGTAGAGCCATGAACCTGATGCAGTTGGCCAGAGGGATGAAAGAATGTCTGAATCTCTCACCTGGCCTGCAGACAGCTGTGTGTTGCCCCTGGAGACTTCCAGAAAGAGGGTTCTCCAACATTTGGATGCAATGGAAGTAACCCCGCCCAGCAGGGAATGTGAACTACACACTTGTAAATTGACACTCATAAATAGGAACTTATAGTGGTTTCACATCACTGAGCTTGAGCTAAGTGGATGGGGGCATGCTTGGCACCTGGCAGGCCTCAAATGAGTCCAGGCCACACAGGCACTTGAGTCCCAGAGTCTTGGCCCCATGAATAACTTGGAAGTCCAATTCGGGCAGCTTATAATTGATGATTAATGACGGCCCATCTTACTTCCACTTCTGGATGATGGTGCAGCTCTCCAGCACCCATTGCTCAGCAGGAACAGTGGCAGGTGCTTCAGCTGCCTTGACTTCTTGGCACTCACATGTTTGCTGGCTTAGCAGAACAATGGTAAGTCTCAGAGAAACCAGGAGCCAGGCGAGGCTTGTTTCAAGCTCATTTTTGCCTGGTTTAGTCTCTACTTTTTTTTTTTTTTTTAAAGAATAAACAAAACTATGGATAGAATCCTAGGGCCAAGAGTCAAAGTATACTTCCAGAGCATGGAGCAGGACCATAGGCGCTCACCCAGGTGTGGCACCTTCCCTGAATTCACTGACAAGACTGCCCTAGTTACTGAGTCAGGGTGGACCAGCTAAATTCTCCTGGGTCCACAGCAGTAGTTCACTGGGAGTGGGCTCTTGTACCTGGGGAGGCTGGAATGCCTCTCCAAGGGCTGTTTAGCCTGTCTCTCAGACCACCACCCCTTCCTGCCTATCTCCTTGAGAGCTTGTTTGGAGGTTCTAGCAGGGGAGCGCAGCTACTCGTATACCCTTGACCGAAGAACGGTCCTCCTCTATCGGGGATGGTCGTCCTCTTCGACCCAGCGCAGCTTCGGGAGGGACGCACATGGAGCGGTGAGGGAGGAAGGGGACACCCGCCTAGCCAGCCAGATCAGCCGAATCAACCCTGGCGATCAATGGGGTGACAGATGTCGCAGCCAGATCGCCCTCACATCCCTTCCTGCCTATCTCCTGACAAGCCTGGCAAGTACCAGGCAAACTCCAGGCACAGAGTAAATCTGTTTGTTTTCGGTTTCTTTCTCTCCCACTCTCTCACTATTTTTGATTTTTAAAATTAATTTGCTTTCCAGGAGAATCACTGCTTACGAATTAAGATCCTGGGGGATTGTTACTACTGTGTCTCAGGACTGCCTGAAGCCAGAGCCGACCACGCCCACTGCTGCGTGGAAATGGGCATGGACATGATCGAGGCCATCTCGTAAGTGCCCACCTCAGGACCCTGTCCAGTTCAGGGAACTGTCCCCTAGCCCGAGCCATGCCTGACTGGCTGACAGGATTGATGGAGGCAGAGAAAAAGCAGAGCAAAGCCATCTCCCAAGGCCTCCCGGCCAGGCTGAAGGACAGATCTGCACTTTTAACACAAAGGTTAAAACCTTTGTGCCCACTCCAGGGCTCCTTTCAGCCCACAGCCAAACAGCTTTTCCTAGAGGAAGCATGACGAAAGGAGGCTGCAGTCCAGGTGAGCGTTGTTGGCAGGCAGGCTGTGCCTGAGCATACCTGCACTCCAGGGCCTCATGCCTTCTCACAAACTCCCAGCCAACATAGAGCCCACTGGCCCCATTTGCTCCCAGATGGAAGAGTTAGGCTCATGGAGGCTCAGTAGCCCCAGGGTAACATTCCTGGGTGGACGGATTCAAGCACAGGAGTTCCCATTTTGAGAGAATCTACCCTTTCGTGAGCAATAGCAAAAAGGTTCTTGGGCTAATTCTTGGACATTACTGATCGCCAAAGGAGCCCTAGTCATTGAAAAATGTGGACATCCCAAGCTTGCATATCAGCCAAGGGAGCAAGTCAGAGAATGTGTCCAGGTTCAGTAACTTCGGACTTTAGAATAGCCTGGACAAGGACAAAGGGGAAGGCAGGTGGCAAGGTCAGAGGTCAGAGTGGTTGGACAGAAAGGTGGCTGGCCCATTGGTTTGGCACAGTTCCACTGAGTGCCCCTGCGTGCCTAGGCTACACAGTGCTTCACCTGTAAGCAGTCTGTTCAGAGAGGGGAGGCCTGGTCTCCTGTTGCTCTGTACCAGGTATGTCATGTGATACACACAAAGGCAAACTATTGTGAGGAGGGGACAGTGGATTCCACTGAAGGGATTGAGAGAGAATTGATAAAGGAGGTAGCCCTGGAGAAAAGGAAGTTAGAATGAAGTGTCGTCATCCTAAGCCAGTATCCAAAGGTATTGTGAGCAGAAGGGACTGCTCCAGTAACAGTGCTTACCAAGTTGATCCCAGGACAAGGGACATTATGGATGGCTTATGTCTTCCCTGAAGTGGGTGTCAGCCTCTTGCTGATGGGATAGGATGAAGGGCAGGAGTACAGGTGGTCCTGCCCACCAGGCCAAGTTAGATTACTTGTCCCATAGCTTGCTGAGTGGGGCCATGCCTAGAGTATCAGAGAGGGCGAATCCCTAAAAAGTGGAAAGTGTGTACACCCACTCCACCCTGCATCCTCTTCCACAGATCCTGGGTGGGCTGTGAGCCACAGACACAGGTGTGTAGCTTCATCCTGAGTTGGCTGCCTGCCACCCCCTCCATCCCTATTTAAGGTTATAAGTAGAGGACCTAAGGACTCACCCAATCTTTTGAGGAACCCTGGGTGCATGGTGCATGTGGCAGGGACTGGGCCTGCCCTGTGGGACATGGGGCACCCCTAGGCCTCTGCACCTACCCAGGCTCCCCTTCTCTCCTGAGCAGGGTGTATGTCCTCCCTGAAACCCAGCTCACCACCTTTCTCCAGCATCCTGCAAGTGTTGAAGAAGCAGCAATGTGGATAGGTCCAGTAAACAGATAATCAAAAAACCATTTCTGTCTTACCCATAGAGCATGTCTGATTGGGGTTTGGAATGACTATAACTTCCCTGTTGGGATCCAGTTGGCACTAAAGTACATTTGCATTTGTCCAAACACAGTCTAATTGACTGAGAGTAGCAATCACAGGGGAGAAAATGGGGCTCTTGGTTTTAGTGTGCCGCACCTCGCCACCTTGTGGCCAAGGAAGGGAACAAGTGCCTCTTAGGTTAGTGCACCTGAGCACCAGGACCAAGCACCAGTTCTCTTCATATTGAACATTCTAGACTCTATTGAGGCTGGACCAGAGAGAAATACCTCTTTGACCCCTGCACCTTCCAACTCCCCCCCCACCCAGCCCTACTTCCCAGCCTCACTCCCGTTCTGTGTGCCTGGCCCCTAACCCTCTCCCAGCCTTACCCCTCTCCATCCCCAGGTTGGTCCGGGAGGTGACAGGGGTGAACGTGAACATGCGCGTGGGGATTCACAGCGGGAGAGTACACTGCGGTGTCCTTGGTCTGAGGAAGTGGCAGTTCGACGTCTGGTCTAACGATGTCACTCTGGCCAACCACATGGAGGCTGGCGGAAAGGCAGGGTAAGTGAAGGCCGCAGAGGGCCTCGGAGACAAACTTAGCTTCACGCTCAAGGGACTGTCCTGAGGAGGTGGGCTGGGATGGCTAGAAGGCACTTTGGGGGTTAGTGTAGGCAGGGCTGAGATAAAGATTCCTCTACCTGGGGACTGCAGTGGGCTAATACCTCATACACATAAGGCCCCAAGTCCCATCCACAGCACCAGAAAAGAAAAGGAAAAAAAAAAAAAAAGGAATGGAGGGAGGGAGGAAGGAAGAAAGGGAAGAAGAAACTCCTTTGCTTACCAAATCAAATCACCCCACACTCTAGGCAAGATGTAGAGAGGTGGCTTAAGAGATATGACAGGTAGAGTCAAGTTCTAGAGGAGGGAGGCTAATTCCCGTGGTAGCCAGGACACAGGAGGTGAACTGCCAGCTGGATGACTGGTAGGGTTGGGACAGGTGGAGGGAGGTGTGGTTGGGAAGAGTCTGAGGGCTGAGGGACCAAGGGACCAATATGATGAAAGGCACGGATGTGGGAAGACACAGTATTTTCAAGGCCTAAAAGTAGGGCACATAGCCTTTTAGGGACAAGTAGGAGAAATAGTGCTTATGGTTAAGAGGGGCCTGGATACCAGGCTGGAGATTTGGGCTCAGACCTGTGATCAGCAGGAGCCACTGCTGGCTTCTGAGCAGGAGTAAGGTTTATAAGACTGGATGCAGTGTTCTTCAGACATGCTGACAAAAGGCCCATGCCAGGTGGGGTGTGAGATAGTGTGGGTGCAGTGGGTATGAGCTGGAACTGGACTGTAAGTGCCATCTTGCTAATATGACAGAGATGCAGTGAAGAGTTGAGCTATGCATTTGAACCAAAGTTTGGGGCCCTGGGATTTGAATCAGAGTTGCAGTTTGGGTCTTCGTGGGACTTGGAGTTTCTAGTTCACATTTTCTGCCCTTTCTACCTGTAGACGCATCCATATCACCAAGGCTACACTCAACTACCTGAACGGGGACTATGAGGTGGAACCAGGCTGTGGGGGTGAGCGCAACGCCTACCTCAAGGAGCACAGTATTGAGACCTTCCTCATCCTGCGCTGCACCCAGAAGCGGGTCCGTGAGCCAGGGCCTGGAGGGCAGAGGGCCGGGGGCCCAGGGCTCAGTCATTTGAGAAGGGCCATTCTCTTGGCTTGCTGCTTCCTTCTCTTTTTCCTTTTCCATTTATGCAATGTGGCTCCTGCAAGAGTAAGCCAGGCCTTACTTAAAGGCTGGTGACAAAGAAGGAATATTTTTATTCTGCTTCTGTTGCAAAAATGCAACAAGTCTTAGCAATAATGAAGTGAGCAACATGCCTCAGAAGGCCAAGGAAATCTGCTAAACAATGCATTGTAGCTTCACTTCTCTTTTTCTTCTGCTTTTTACTAAGTGGATATTTGTCTTCTCTCTCTCTCTCTCTCTCTCTCTCTCTCTCTCTCTCTCTCTCTCTCTCTCGTGTGTTTGTGTGTGTGTGTACATGTGTGTGTCTACCTTAGTCTATGTCTTTATGGCTTTATTTCTTGAAGCTCATTCCTTCTCCCCTTTTCACTTTCTAGTCTTTTTCTTTTCTTCCTTTGTCTCAGCCCACACTTGCCAGAGTATTAAACTGAGTTATTAGCAGACTTCACCGTTCTATTTTTAATAGTGCCATGTTCTATGTTCTTAATTTTTAAAGGGGATGAAGAGAACATTTTCTATTTCTCCCTAAATGAAATGCCTTTTACTCTGAGTCTTCCCATTGAGTTGATGTGTTGGTCAGTGCCCTTTGTAGAAGGCACTTTCCTTTCTCACCATAGCTGTGAGAATAGTGCAGACAAAGTCTTGGGTGGAAGACTTTTATTTCTTTTATTCATATGTGCATACAATGTTTGCGTCATTTCTCTCCCCTTCCCCACCCCCCCTTCCCTTAGTGGTAGATTTTTAAGAGGAAGCAGGGCCAAAAGGGCAATGCCAACCCTGAGAGGGACATCAGAAAGGTACCTTGCCTTGTACCTCAGGTCAGGAATTCTGGCTGCAGTTGCCTTTGCAGGGAGCTGCATCAGATCCCTCCATGAACAGCAGAAAGGGATGGGAGGATTCAGGGCACTTTGGGGAGAGCACCTGTTGGCCTGGCAGGCGTATTATAAACACTTACTGGTTCTTTGGCCAGAGTGTGAATGAACTGAAATCCTCCCAGCCCCATCTACATCTCTCTTTTCAGTGTCTGGTCCACAGGGCCTGCAGCTCACCTTCCTGCCCTGAGTTCTTGGTGCCTTTTTCTCTAGTTGAGAAGTGGCCCAGAGGAATGAAGTAGAGGTGGACAAATAAAGACATTGACAGCCCCTTCCAGTAGTGTCAGCTGAAGCAGGTTGAGTGCCACTCATCGGCCATCCCTATATCTAATGAGGGAGGCAGTAAAGGGAGGATCACCTCAGGCCTCCCAACCCTCCACCTCTGATAGTCACTTACATGGAAAGACAGACAGACATAGAGATGCTAGGGAGAGTGTTGGCCAGTAGGCCTATGCTTTGTTTGTGTATTTGCAGAGTGAGGTCAGGATTCAGTGGGTCAAAGCTGCTTTCTAGGCAGCAGGGGCATGTCCTTCTATGAGGGAAGTTGAGTGAATACTGGCATCCTGGGTCCCTTCTCCCTCCCTCACCCCTCTGGGTGCCTTCAGTCCAGGCTCTGCCCATCTCTAAAGCTGTGGGCAGAGCCCCCATTCCAATGACTACAGCCTTCTAGCAACAGGGTGGGATGCCCAGGTTGGGAGCTGGCCTGGCTGCCTGGGAGACCAGACGTGAGGCTCCGCCCTCCCACAGAGTACCCTGTGCAGGTTAGGGGGAGAGAAAAAATAGTGCAGGTGGCAGTGTATCCATTAGGCCTTTGGAAAATTAGGCTGTCCTGGGCGGGGTGGGGAGAAGAAAGTGACATTGGTTTTGGGAGGCTCCAGGATAGAATCTTGTGGTGAAACTTATAAGGACAACTCCTTGCACCCATCCCCTTTGTTTTTTCATAAGACCAGCTCTCATCATCTGTGCTCCCCCGGGCCAGCCAGGGTTGCTGTGGGAGTTTAGAGGGTTTGGGATGCTGGCGTGTGGGAGCTCTAGGATCTTGGCAGGCCTCAGGGCTCCAGGGCTGTGCAGATTAGTGAGGGCAATTGCCTCTGCTCCTGCCTAGCCAGGTGTGTGTTCCTGGGAGGAGTGAGTTTGGGCTCCTCATGGCCCTGCCTACGGGCTGATGCATCTGTGTCACTCTCCAGAAAGAAGAGAAGGCTATGATTGCCAAGATGAACCGCCAGAGAACGAACTCCATTGGGCACAACCCGCCGCACTGGGGGGCTGAGCGCCCCTTCTACAACCACCTGGGTGGCAACCAAGTGTCCAAGGAGATGAAGAGGATGGTGAGTGGCTGACAGGTGGTATGTGGCAGCATGCTCCAGGACCACGGCCTTCTGTGGGTGTGAAGGCTGCCCCAGCCCCTTAAAGATTCCCCTGAGCAAATCTGGAGAGCCATGGAAGGGCACGGACATGGGGTCATCCTCAGTTCGGACTAGAAACTGGAGCATCTGATCCTATCCTGGGCACATGCCATGACTCCTATTATCTTGCAACCTGGGGACAGAGCAGCAGTGCCCCTTCCTATGTCCCTCTCAGCAGAGCTTGCTGTTGCAGTCTGGGAGCATGCCCTTCCAGACAGACTAGGGGATTCCGCCAACTGTCTCTTGGCACTGGCTGTTGAGACCCGAGGAAACTTGGTGGGCAGTAGATTGCCAAGCCCTCTTCCAGCACCTACTGCATTTCCCAGGCAATTGAAGTCATGTCTTTTGGCCCAGTTGCTCAGAAATCATCCCAAGGCTTTCTGACAGGTGCCAGGTGATTGACCCTTTTGCCCTCTGTGCTGAGAAACAGCCCTGTCCCCACTAGCTCCAGCCTTCCAGTGGGAGCTGGCAGGCCATGCAGAGCTGTCATCTCCATCTCAGGGGGAACAGGTGCATGCCTCAGAGGACAGGTTCCCCAGCAGTTGCCACACATATCAGGCCAGGCTAATTCAGGACACTGGGCTCTAGAGACAATGGCAGAAAGATGAGCTCAGGTAATGGGATGAAGAGGAAGAGGATGACAGGAAGCCACTACAGCAGCATTCACTCCTTCTGTCAAGAGCTTGGCTTCCACCCCTCAGGGACACTGCTTAGCTCACAGGCACCTGGTTCCCAGGCAGAGTTGCTCACACTGAGGGAAGACTGAGCAGGTTGGTGCCAGGAATGGGGTGTGTGCACACTTTGTGAATAAGCTGGGGCAGGCTGCCGGTGTTACAGTAACCCAAGTTCAGAATCTGTGGATCAGATTAGTTTTAGATGGAGCAGAGGGGGCAAGGGACAGATGCCATGAGACTTTAGTAGATAGGCTAGGGCCCGAAAGAGGGAGTGGGCTGAGGACTGAGTCATTCCATATCTTGCCAGCTAACAAGTAGCAGATGATGTGGGTTTAAGGACATGCACAGGAGGAGAAATGAGCTGAGTCTAAAACTCCATTTAAAACTTTGATATCTTTATAAGCAGTACTATAAGGGAGAAGATTGGAGAGGCCAGCCTTCCCACTTGGATGTCTCCAGTCCTTGGCACTGCCAGTGTGGGCTCTGGCCACCACTTTCCGTCCCCCAAGGGCCCTCCACAAAGCAAAGAGCAAGTGGCCAACCCTCCCTGTTATCATCTCAGCTCTTTATTTATTTATTTTGGTGAGATTGGGATTTGAATTCAGGGCTTTGCACTTGCAAAGTAGGCACTTTACCGCTTGAGCCACAACTCCAGTCCTCCTCAGCTCTTTAATAATCTCTTGCAGACCTTGTGCCCTCATGACTGGAGTGGTCAAGGAGGGTGGCAGTGGGAAAAGGAGGGGAAGACAGGAGGAAAGAGGGAGGTGAAAAGGGATCTGGAGATGGGAAGTGGGGAAGGGAGGGAGAGGAAAAGGAGGCAGAAAAGTGGAGAGGAAGAAGAGCAGCCAGCAAGCAGGAAAGGAACCCACTGATAAGCCAGGATCTTTGCTAAAAATCCTTGAGAAGTCATTTGTAGAGACACTTGGTATATGCTGCGTCTTTGTTCATCTCCCAGTCTTAAAGCATGAGGACTGGTTTGGCAGATGTATTCATCATTGTTAGGATAAGGAATCTTGGAAGAATTAGCAGCAAGAGCTGTGATAGGATAGGGACAGTCTGGGGAAGGAGGCTGCTGCTGCTGAGGCTGCAAGGTATTAATTGCTTTGCCCAGCAAGGAAGGGCAAGTGTGTAGAACAGGGTCTGGCAACTTCTGTAACAGCCTGTGGCTGCCTGTACTGACTAGGGACCTTTGTCCCCTGCGGACACTGTTACCAAAGCTCAGCTTCCTGTCCTCAACTCAACCTGTCCAGTGTGAGTCTCTAGGCTGAGGATGGAGATGGTTCTAGCAGTGGTCATGTGGGCTATTGGCATTTGGTGTTAAACTTGCCAAAAATCTTTGAGAAAGACACACAAAAGCAGATCTTTTACCCTGATTTCAGTATGCGGGTGGGCCTTTTTAAAAAATAGCCTATAGAAAACAGCGGATGAGGATCTGATGAAGCAGTAACAGCAGTTAGAAAGTTGCTGACTTGTGGTTAGCGGTTTCATTATTTTGAATCTTTGTCCAACTCTTACGCAGCTATGCCGGGCTAGGCTGGGGCATGCATGTCATAGGTCTTTAAGGTTAGTTATTAATAAAAGGTTGACAGTGGGAAGTGAGTGGACTGAGCTCATGTGACCAAGCCAGAAAAGCTCTGCCTACTCCCCTGGGACCAGCAGGCTGGGAGAGGTGAAGTAACCCTTGTCCTAGCACTAGTGAGCAGGGCTGAGATTACACCTACCCTGTTTGTCTGTGGCTTGTTTTGTTTTATTTTGTTGCTGTGTTGGGACTGGAACCCAGAGCCTCATACGTGTTAGGCAGAAGCATTTTCTGCCCCATTATCAGTGCACCCCTCCAACCTGGCACTGTGCTATCTACACGGCATCCCCTGTGCCTAGAATGGACCCAGCTTCATGCTCAGCACAGGAGGGAAAGGCCCCCTACATCCACCTCAGCAGATAAATAGGCTGGTTGAAAACACTTCATGATATTTCTGAGCTGGAGAGACAGGTGTTCATATAAGATAGCACAATTGTTCTTTCTGGAATAATAAGCCTGTTGCTGGATCACGGATGGATCTCAGTGGGTCAGCACCTCAGGGCAGTGCCCTGCAGAGAGCTCACCTGCCCGGCTTTCCTGCCTGCCATACTGTGCTCTGAGGAGTCTTGTCCCCAGACAGAGCACTCACTTGAGTGACACCCCCCTCCTGTAGCTAAGACTGGGAGGATAAAGTGAGACAGGTCTTGCAACTTGGAGGGAATGCCAAGTGATTCTCAGGACAAGCAGGGGGCTCCGGCTTGACTGGGCAGATAATCAACCAGCCATTCAGGGCTGGGCCGGGCACCTGGGAACAGCTCAGAGCCAGTGAATGGTCACTTGGATGTACCTCCAGAGGCTGCCAGGACTAGGAACTCTCAGCGGGGGTAGAACAGAGGCAGAGTCTCTCAATGCCATGCTGACTCCACGTCTGAATCAGCGCTTGACAGCTGTGGCTCATGGAGAAGAACAACAGTCCCTGATTCTGTGTTGTGAGACCGTGTCCTGAGTGTGAATGAAGACAGGAGGACCCACTTGCACTTTTGGTTCACTCAGCGTTTGCCAAACTCCATGTTTGCCTGCCAGTGCTCCATGCTGGGCCACAGAGTGTAGGGGTCATCCCTGTCCTTGTTCTGACAACCTAAGCCTTTTTTGGAACTGCCAGTCTATGGACTGCTTGTCACCCCCACTACCTCCTGGATTCTGTCCCATTCCCACTGGAGGGACCCTTCATTCTACCACAGCATGTCAGACCCCAAAACATAGATCTATCTCTCTGTGGACATCACAGAATAACTCTAAGTAGGGCTTTGTGTCTGGCCATCAGAAGCCCACCCTCTCTCCCTCTGCCTGTGGAAATAAACAACAGAGCCCACTCACACTGTGCCGTTTGTCCCTCACCATCTGAGTTCTCAGCCAACTCTATACTTACAAGAATGTATTGGTTCTCAGATACCAAAAAAAGCTGCTCTAGGTAACCACAGTTGAATCTTTTAAGTGCAAAGTATTTGAACTCTCACGGGTTTTTTTGTGTGCTCGGGGTGCGTGTTTGGGGGAGGGGGAGTATGGACATGTGTGAGGGACTGAGCAGCTCAGCAAATTCTGATTTTCACGTGAGTAAGTGGCAAAGTTGGGGGGAGACCCTCTGAGCCCAGGAGCCAGCAGGAGGGGAGAAGAGGTTGGGAAGAGAGCCGAAGGATTCAGGTGTGGACAAGAAAAGGGTTAGTCACATGGATTTGCCTGCAAATGGAATGAAATTACGGCGCACCCTGGCATCTGGCACAGACCCTGTGCCTCAGGAAGGACTTGGTTGGGTTCACCAAATGAAGGGAGGTAGGGAAGAGGGTTGCTGCATGTCTGTTGCTTTGGTCCACAGCAGAGAGCAGTGAGCGGGTGCCACCAGCTAGCCCTACTCTGGTGGTCTCACACCCCTCACTCTGTTCTTTTCTAGGGCTTTGAAGACCCGAAGGACAAGTGAGTAATATGCCCTTCTTTCTTCCTGCCCGCTCCATCTTGGGAACTGCTCCAAACCTGCTCTACCACGTGGTTTCCCCATGCTCCATGGAACCTGATCCCACAGACAGTCTCAGCTGAGAGTGAAAGGAGCCCACCCGACATGCGACAGATGGTCAGCAGCAGTACTAGACTGGCCAAGGCAGCCCAGGAGGCCAGGCTACTCAGCAGCACTGGGCCTCAACACAGGCCATGTCCCTTTTACTACACTACAGTACCTATACTACACAAACTCACAAACACATATGCACACACAGGTGTGCATACAGAGCTCTCTTAGGAAAATGTGGACCTTGCACACTGGTCAGCAGGGCTTGACCATGCCTACCACCCTCTTCCTTCTCCTCTGTTTCCCAGAAAGTCCACTCAAGGACCAGGCTCCACCCTGAGAAATTAGGTTTTAAAGTTCATCCTAAGATCATGAAACCTGCTTCCCAAAAGACCTGAGCCTAGGTCAGTGGACAGGTGGGCCACAGTCCCTGTGACAGGAGGGCCCCCTCTGATCTCAGCCTTAGTTTCAGGGTGCAAAGACAGCTGGAGAGTACAAGGAGCAGAGACTGTAGGGGAAACGATTAAATCTTCAGTAATGATCCACATAGTAAAAGTCACATTGCCAGCAGTTTGGGACTTGGGCAGCTTCCTGTGCATGTGTTTAGAGTGTGAGCTTGGGCTCCTGGCTCACCTGGTCCCAATCCCTGCTTCCCTACTCTGAGTCAGGGCTGATGGTGGATACCTGCCAGGCCTCTCTGGTCAGTCCAGGTGGCCATGCAAAGCCAGCCCCTACAACAGCACCCCTGTTGGTCAGTCTGTGTCTGTGCCCCCTGCTCCCCAGGAATGCCCAGGAAAGTGCAAACCCCGAAGATGAAGTGGACGAGTTTCTGGGCCGGGCCATTGACGCTAGGAGCATCGACAGGCTGCGGTCTGAGCATGTGCGCAAGTTCCTCTTGACCTTCAGGGAGCCTGACTTAGAGAAGAAGGTATGGCACAGGGAGAGGGGTCCAGGTAGAACCATAACCAGGGGAGTAGGACATAATACGGGCAATAGGATAGCTTCCCCTCCCTCCAGCACCAGGGAAGGACCTGCAGGAGCAAATCCCCACCTGTGTTGCTGCACTGCCCAGGGGGCTTCCTTGGTTAGAGGGGATAAATCTTTACCTCTCTTCACCTCAGTTTCTTTATCTAGAAAATAAGAATTTTTGATACACTGACCTCAGGATCAGAGTGAGGATTAAATGAAGTCTCTCTATATAAAACACATAAAACAATATCTGCCACATAGAGGATGTACAAGAAATATTGGCTGCTGTTTGTACTGTTATTGCTGTTATCACTGGGCCACACAGCTGTTTGGGGCTCACCGGAACCTCCAGGTGTTAATTTGGAAGGTGCAGCCAAGCTCCTCTGTCTCATCTCCTTAGATTGTGAATGAAACAACTGAAGCTAGGTATGGTGGTGCATGCCTGTAATCCCAGCCACTTGGAAGGTGGAGGCAGAAGGATTGAAAATTTGAGGCTAGCCTGGACAAAGTTAGCAAGACCCTATATCAGAAACAATATAAACAAAAGGCTAAGGGCCTGGTTCAAATGGTGGAGCATGCTTTGAGGCCCTAATACTGGAAAAAAAAAAAAAAAAAGGACAGAGAGAAAAAAAAAAAAAGCTCACATTCAGAGCAGTTGGGTACTTGGACTTGCTCTAGGCACAGGCTGTCCCTGGTGTTTAGATGAAACAAACTTAATGTGAGCTTATAGTTAGCGTTAGATGAATCAAGCCCAATTAGGAGAGCAAAACTAGGGAATGGAAAGTGGACTGATTTATATACACATCACCATTGGGGTGACTGTGCCAGCTCCAGCTTCCATAGTGTGGCTGGTTAGGGTCATGAAATGGGCTGGGTGACCCTAGACAAGTCATGGAACCTCTCTGAGCTCCAGTTTGCTCATCTCTGCGGTAGAAATCGCAGCATTCCTGTGCCTACTTCCAGGACTGTTGTGAGGATGATTGGAGATTAGAGAGTGCCGGTTAATTTACAGCTGTGATCATTATGTATTACTCCTGACACTGGGGCTGGCCTGGATAAACTTTGCCATATGACACAATTCCAGTTCCTCTCAGTTGCGCTTCCGTAGGCACTGCCTTATGGGCATTTGGACTGGTCACGTGTGATCTAAGTCCAGCTCTGGCCCCCAGCTCTTCCCTGTCCTGGAGTGTGCTGTTCTAGGTGGCTGGGGCTGACTCATCTGGAGCAGACTCGGTGCCTCTGCCCCTCACCCTGTGCATCTCTTTTCAGTACTCCAAACAGGTGGATGACCGATTTGGTGCCTACGTGGCGTGTGCCTCCCTTGTCTTCCTCTTCATCTGCTTTGTCCAGATCACCATAGTACCCCAGTAAGTAGCCCCATCCCTCTTGGGCTTCCTCTTCTGTGGCTCTGAGGTGGAAAGGGTGGTCATTTAGGAGGGTAGAGAAGGAAGTCTGGGCTGAACCTGCTCAGGCCAGGACACAGGATTCCTAATGTATCCTCAGTGGGACTAGGAAGTCAGGGGACTCACACCTTTCAGGACAGGGAGGTGAAGTGCTCATGCTGGATGGACGACTTCTCACTGGGTGCTGCTTAGTCCACAAGGGATCCCTTTTCATCACTTTATCATCTTATCCTATTTAATGCACACTTTCACTGCCCAACTGTTTCACTCAAAGTATTTGCAGGCTGGCTTCTCTGTGACCTTTGGATCTTGCAAAAAAAAAAAATCAATACATCTTCAAAAGATAAAGGTTTCTCACTACTGTAGGTCTTTCAAAAAATGGACTTCACAGGTTCTGAAGGCTTTTCACAAAGAGGCACTCCTGAACTCTTCTGAGGACTGGCTAGGTCAGTGTGAACACCTGTGGCTTCCAAGGGGACAAGTGGGCAGTGGGACAAGCCAGGTGTGGTGGTACATGTCTGTAATTCCAACTATATCAGTGGTCAAAGGCCAGCCTGGGGTAAAAAAGCTCAAAACCCTATCTGAAAAAATAACTAAAGTGAAAAAGACTGGAGGTATGGCTCAAGCCATAGAGTACCTGCCTAGCAAGCACAAGGCCCTGCGTTAAACCCCAGTATCACAAAAAAAGTAAAATAAATTTTAAAAAAGTGAATAGTGGGCTTTTGGGAATTAACTTTAGTAAATACTCATTCACGCTGGAGCCATGCCTAGGATAAAAACAAATGTCTATGTATGTGTAACATCTGTCATCTATGTGTGTGTGCCTATACGTATACATATTTAGGTATTTTACTTTTTATTACTAAATCATTTGCACACAGAGATAAGGAATATTATCAACCCATCCCCTAGATAAATAATTGTTAATATTTATGTCATCTATTTTTTCTGATTTTTTAAAAGTAAATTTAAGGACATTTGCCCTGAAAAAAAGATACCCATTTGAGGGACATTTTCCATCTTAACATAGTACCTTGTACAACAAATTAACACCAATTCCTTATAATCACCTGACACCCACATGTCAAATTTCCAAAATTGTCCCCCAAATGCCTTCTGTTCTTAGTTTATTCATAGCCAGGCTGTACTCAAGATCCATTGGTTGCATGTGGTTATGTATTCTAAGTCTTACTTAATCTGAAGCATCCCAAGCCAGCGCCTGTTTTTCCACTGTAGACCTACTGAGAAGTTGCAGAAGTTGTACGGAGAGCTTCTGCCAAACTTTTGTCCAGTTTCCAGTAATGCTGACAACTTCCATAACTGCAGTGCAGGGATCACAACCAGGAGTCTCACACGGGAACATACCACTTGCTCATCTACAGACCTGATGCTAATTTCATCAGTTTCCCCTTACTGCCTCTTGTCTGTTCCAGGAGCCCCACTGCCTGGGATCCCACACTGCATTTAGTCATCTTTTCCAGTCTGTGACAGTTCCTCAGCCTTTGCTTGGCACTTTTGACAAGTCCTGGCCAATTAATTTGTAGAATGTTTCAATTTGGGTGTGTCTAATGTTTTCCTGATCAGATTGGGGTTGTGCATTTTAATGGGACTCCTACAGATGTGATAACATGTCATTCTCAGTGTATACCGTCAGAAGGCATGCGACAGCCACGTCTTATTTCTTAGCCCCTTTTATTTTTATGTCACTGTTGAAGAGATGCCCCTTATGTTGGTATCCACTGTGACTGTCAGAACACCACAGGTGAAAACTAGACGCTGGCAGCTGGCTCCACTGTGATCATATAGCTAAGCCCATTCCCCCTGCACTAAAGCTGTGCAGAGCTTGAGGGGTGGTGGGTCCTGTTGGTGTGGAAGCCCATTTTTCTGTATTTAAAAAATAAAAACAGGAACTATAGGTATCAACAAGCAACCTGGGGGCCAACAGAGTGGCTCAAATGGTAAGAGGGCTTGCCTAGCAAGTATGAAGCCCTGAGTTCAAACCCAGTATCACCAAAAAAAGAGAACAAGCAACCTGGGCTGTTTGTTCTATCGCATCTGACAGTCCCTTAGCATAATCCTACCCGTTCACCACTTTCCTTTCTCTGAAGCATGGCTTGGAGGCTGCCATGCCAGCTCCCTGCTCTGTCTGCAGTGGCTCCATTCCCTCCTCCAGCCATAAGTGGCTAAGGCATTGACAGAGGTCATTTTCCAGCCAATCTGTCTCTAGGGAAGCCTTAAAAGCCACTCTAAAGGTGGATTTTCTCTGAAGAATTCTTTTCTCTTGTTCCATTTGTTGAAGGCAGCTAAGTGCTGCTGTTGTAGAAGCCAACAAAGGCACTGAATCCTCACAGGGGTGTCCACTGCTGCCCAGGTCCTCTGCTGGCCTGCAACCCAGCAGCCATGCCTGGCATCCAGGCCGCTTTCCTCCCTCACAGCCTGGTAGGATGGGGAGCGGGAGGTAGGTGCCCTGTGTTTCAGCAAGCCACTGTTCCAAGAGTGGCGGGCAGTTCCAGAAGAAAAATCACTTGTAGCTCATTTGTCTGGGCTTCCTCGGTGACCCATGATTTGCCTCCAAAAGAAGGAGCAGGAGACCAGCCACTTTCCTTGTTGAAATAACTAGGAATGGGAGAGTAAAAATGGAGCAGGATGGGTGGGGCTTAGCAGTGGGGAGGGGACAGGGGCTAGGAACTTTGTCCTTCTGAATGTACTTATCACCGTGTGTCTCAAAGAGTAGCTGGCAGACTGCTGACAAACGCATTTCTACACATGAAGGCCATTTGTCAAACCCATTTTCAGTCCTCTGTTATTTATCGAGCCATGAATGACAATGTGGAGGGATAACTGGGCAATTTTTAAAAATTGATTTTTCCAACTTAAATGAAGCACTGCTGTGAACAGCTAAGAATTAGGCAAAATATTCCTTGGGTGTTGCCTGGGTTCTCTGCTCAGCTCCCTGTGGGCTGCTGTTCCACCCATGAAGGTGGCTGGGGGTAGGAAGGGCAGGAGCAGCAACTTCAGGTTCCCATCAGGAGCTTTCAGAGCCCCAGAGCTGCAAGGATGGGCCTCGGACCTGTGGCCTGTGGCCCTGGCAGGATAGGAAGTTCAGCCCATACCTGCACACGGTTTCTCCTCTCCTTTTCCCCCCCACCCCAGCTCCCTGTTCATGCTGAGTTTCTACCTGACCTGTTTCCTGCTGCTGACCTTGGTGGTGTTTGTGTCTGTGATCTACTCCTGCATAAAGGTGAGTCCCCCTTATACCTCAGCCAGCACCTTCTTCCTGCTCTTCCCAGCCTGCTGTAAGGACCACTTCCAGTACCTGAGCGTCGCCCAGGTGGGGATGTGGGGGTACACCATACTGAGTCACCACTCTCCACTGGCATTGGTGGCAAGCCAGACTGGAGGTGGGACTCTGTCAGTGCAGCCTTGTTCTCATTGGCAGCCTTAATTAGCCCTTGTAAATCTTTGCATCAAGAAGACACTGTCATGGCCATTTCTGTCACCCCTTGGTATCAGGTGGGATGATGGGAGGGCACCTAGCCAGAGCCTAGTATGAAGCAGTGGTCAGTGAGCATTTGCTGAAAGGAATGAGTATGTAGGAGACCTGTCTTGACATGGCCTTCAATGGCTCCAGGTGGTCTGGAGGGGACCTCAGGGGCCCATCGTGCAGATAAGGAGTCTGGCCCTAGAATAGCTCGGAGTTCAGATGGGCCACACAGCTAGCTCAGGTTAGCAGCATGATCCAGGGCCGGGACCTGGCTTTCTGTTCTATGTTTTTCTCCCACGCTTCTCTTGAGCCTGCCTACAGTATGTCCCTAGGTAGCACTTGATCCCCCTGTCCCAATCTGTCTGTTACAGAAATCACTCTGATTCCTGTTTACCTTGCCCACCAAGCCCTTCCCTCCCCTGTGTCCTTCACCAGGCAGTCAAAGACCTCACCCTCCAAATAGGGCCCTTTGTTAGTCTGTTAACTGCTTCATCGCCTCATGGTCAAGGTCTTGGTGGACTGGTTGTCAGATCTGGAAGGGACCTGAGGAATCATGTCGTTTGGCTCGGCCTTCCCTATGACAGGTTCAGAGTGGACATCTGGACACAAGCTGGGTTAAGTCTTTGTGAGAAGCTGAGCAAATTGCTGCCGTGTGTTGTAGGGTAAGCCCTGGTCCCCGCCTCTCCACCAACACTCCTTCCTCAGTGCCATGGCGCTGCTGCTCTGTTGTTTAGTCATCTCCTCCTTTGGTCTGCTGAATTTTTTGTTGTTGTTGGATTTTTTTGTTTTTGAGACAGGGTCTCACTCACAGCCCGGGTTTGCCTCAAACTTGGGATCCTTCAGCCTCCCAAGTGCTGAAATTACAGGCACGCAGTACCATGCCTGGCTTGATCTTGCTGTTGTTAAGTCCCCGAGCCTGCTTTATCCCTAGCAGACTTTCTGTATCCCACAGCTATAAAAGGACTTCAGATAGTCACTGTACCCAAAAGGTGAAAGTAACCTAAGTGTCCATCAACAGATAAAGGATAGATAAAACGTGGTATGTAACTGCAATGGAATATTATTCCAGCACAAGAAAGAATGACATGCTGTTACATGTACAACATGGATGAACCTTGAAAACGTGCTGAGTGAAAGATGTCAGACACACAAGATCATGTATTGTATGACTCCACCAAAGTGAACCATCTAGAATTAGGCAAATTCTATCACAGAGATAGAAAGTAGATTGGAGGTGACCCAAAGCCGGTAGAAGGGCAAATGAGTACTTATTGCTTAATGGTATGGAATTTCTACTTGGAGTGATGAAAGGAATAGATAGCAATCATGGTTACACAACACTGAATGGCACACTTGAAAGTGGTTGAAGTGGCAATTTTTATGTTTTACATACCTGTTTTACCACAATAAAAAAGTCGCAATGAGCCAGGCATGGTGGTACATACCTGTAATCCCAGCACCTGGGAGGCTGAAGCAGAAGGGTCAAGAGTTTGAGGCCAACCTGGGATACATAGTGAGACCCTGTATCAAAAAGATGCAAAAAAAAAAAATCACAATAATCTAAAAAAAAATTTGTTTTACAGAATCCCAAAAGGAATATTTCTTTTTTACAATTATGAATGGAAGCATGGTTGTTTGTTTGTTTCAGAGACTTAATTGACCTATTCAAATCAGAATGAAAGCTACATGGAGTCCATCATTTTTTAAATTAGGATATATTCATTGTACAGGAGCAATTCATTGTGAGAATTCCAAATAGGCTTACACTGTACGTTGGTTAGATTGCCCCCACCATCTCTTCCCTTCAACCCACTTAAAGCAACTACAAGAGGTTTTACTGTTCTATTTTGTAGATGAAGTCCATCAACCATATTCCCTCACCTTCATCTCCTTCATTTACCACCCCCCCACAACATCCCCCCCACACTGTACCTGTTTTACAGTCCCGTTTTTCATTATTAATTTCTAAGTTGATGTTCAAAGTGGTTTTTCCATGTGTGCCTGCTGTGACTATACTTTACTTTGGTCTGTTCAACCCCTTCTATTACTGTCCCTTATCCCTTACCTCCCTCCACCCCATTATTCAACAGCTTTCAATACATATCCTTGTATCCTCTACCTTCACTGATGTTATGGGTTACAATATTATTAATGTTCTGTCATTCCCTTTTAATTATTATTATTTTTATTTTTGTGGTACCGGGGCTTGAACTCAGGGCCTTGCTCTTGCTAGGCAGGTGCTCTTCCACTTGAGCCACTCTGCTAGCTATCATTCCCTTTCCTTTCCCTCCTTCCCTGAGTTCCAGAGCGTATTTCCATTATTACGAATATGTTCTACATATACGTTTGTATATGATCACGTTTGTTTTTGTATATGTTTATCTTTTTGATCTATCTTCCACATATAAGAGAAAACATGCAGCCTTTGTCTTTCTGAACCTGACTTACTTCACTTAACATGATGCCCTCCTATCACATCCATTTACCTTCATGGTGTCATTCTTCCTTATGACTGAGTAGAACTTCATTTTATTTGTATACCATGTTTTCTTGACCCACTCATCAGTTGTAGGGCATCTGGGTTGTTTCCATAACTTGGCTGTTGTGAACACGCTGCGATGAACATCAGTGTGCAGGTGCCTCTATGTATCCTGACTTACGTTCCTTTGTATATATGTCAGGAGCAGGTCTGTTTTTTAGCTTTTTGAGGAATCTCCATACTGCTTTCCATAATGGTTGTACTAATTTGCATTCCCACCAACAGTGTATAAATGTTCCTGTTTCGCCACATCCTCACCAGCATTTGTTGTTTTTGCTCAGGCAAACGGCCTTTTTAACTGGAGTGAGATGAAATCTTAGTGTAGTTTTGATTTGCATTTCTTTTATAGCCAGGGAAGTTGAACACTTCTTCATGTACTTATTGGCCATTTGTACCTCTTCCTTTGAAAATGCCCTATTTAATTCATGTGCTATTTCTTCATTGGGATGTTGATTCTTTGGGGGTTGAGTTTTTCTGAGTTCCCTGTAGATTCTGGATATTAGTCCCTTATTGGATGAATAGCTGGTAAAAATTTTCTCCTATTCCGTGGGCAGTCTCTTAAGCTGGTGACTGTTTCTTTTCCTGTGCAGAAACTCTTTAGTTTGATGCAGTTCTATTTGTTCATTCTTTCTCTTAGATGCTGAACCATTGGAGTTCTATCTAGGAAGTTGTTCCCTATGCCTATACGTTCCAGTGTATTCCCTATGATTTCATGTAGTTGTTTCAAAGTTTCAGGCCTGATATTAAAATTAAGGTCTTTGATTTAGTTTGAGTTGATATTGGTACAGGGTGAGAGATAGGGTTCTAGATCAGTCTTCTACATGTGGACATCCAGTTTTTCCAGCAACATTTGTTGAAGAGGCTGTTTTTCTCTATTGTGTGCTTTGGAGTCCACCTTTTTTTTTTAAACTAGAATATAAACTTCTCTTTTCCTGTTGGTGTCTTTAGTAAACCTGTGCTGTCCTGATCCCATTCCATGTGATCTCCCTGATTTTTACGCATCTCTGTGGACCAGAGCCTCACCTAGGCTCTGCCTGCTCTGGGCATTGCTGATGGAGCCTCCTCCCTTCCCGCAGCTCGAATGCAGCCAGGCCCCACCTTACTGGCTTTCCTTCCTACCACTCTGCCCAAACCTCTGTGCACAGTTGCAAAACTAGGGTCCAATTGTAAACCAACACTCCTTACCTCCTAGGAACTGTCTATCTTGTGGGGACTTTACAATTCCCATGCTTGCCTTCCTGCCACATTTTGTTTCTTAAGGACAAGATTTGTTCTTGCCATACATGTGTTCATTGAGAGAGGGAGAACTCCATTCCAGGAGACATAGTCTAGGCTCTCCTAAGGCTTTCAAGTCGGACAGTCCAGGGTCCAGCTTCCAGCCATGCTACTTTGAGCTGTGTTTTTTGAGACTCTAAGGTGGCTTTTATTAGACACATTTTGCTAATGAGGAAACCAAGACTCAGGGGTCAGGTAACTTCCTGTAGGTCCCGGAGCCTAGAAGTGGTTAGAGCTGGAATTTAAACCGAGGTAGTTCTTGACTTCAGAGCCCATGGTCCTTCTCTTCAGGACTTGACCTTTGTTAATATGTCCAGTAGACTCCTGAAAAGCCAGGCGATGAGAACAGTGTATGCAGCTCTCTGTCTGCTGCATCTGACTTCTGAGGTTTTCATTTCTTATTTTTATTTTCTGTAGTAGGAGCTGCTGCTACGTTTGTTAGCTCCTTCTCAAACAAACTGTTTTCTTAAGCTTTTTGCCATCTGATTTTGTCACCTTTCATCTCTGTAATCCTCTGGCCCCACATCATAGACAGGGCCCAGGGAGATCATCCATTTGCAAAGAGACAGTCAGAGAAACCAGAATCCAAACTGACCCTCATCTCATCATGGTTTATTAATTATGTTCTCACTCTCACTTTCCATGGGGAACGAATTTGAATGAATCAGGTTGGGGATGTGTTGGTTCTGAACTTACTATTTTTTTTTTTTTTTTTTGATGTACTGGGGCTTGAACTCATGTCCTTCACCTTGAGCCATTCCACCAGCCCTATTTTTGTGAAGGATTATTTGAGATAAGGTCTCGAGGAACTGTTTGCCTGGGCTGGCTTCAAACCCCAATCCTCCTGATCTCTGTCTCTTGAATAGCTAGGATTACAGGTGTGAGCCACTGGCGCCCAGCAAACTTACTATTTTTTAAATTGATTCTTTTTCCCAAATCCGATTGTGAGCAGCACTGAATGATTGGTTTGCACAGACATCCTTATCCTGCTGCAACAAAGCAGTCCAGGCTCTGATGGCAGCTATGGTGAGCTCTGTAAAAACACTGCCCCCAGAAAATAGTTAACATTCACAATGGGCAAGGGTCAATATACAGATGAGCTTTCTGATTACAGGAGATGAAATTCTCTACAAAACAATACCAGGGCAGGAAGGCAAATCTTCTCTAGACTTAAGTTCTTGGGTTCCTAGTGTGTCTTAAAGTTCTTGGGTTCCTAGTGTGTCTTAAAATTAAGAGCAGGTCTTTTTAAAGGTCCAAGGGAAGTTGGCTTGTAGCCCTGGATGCTAGGGCTCCATCTAATATTTCTTTTAAAACAGCCTGCATTTCCTCTCTGAGCCTCTGGATGACGCTTGGGGCTCCTGATCCCACATTTACCAGGAAGCTTGAGTACCTATCTTCCCCAAACACCTTCATTTATATCAATCCTTATATTAGTGGTGGTCTTTAAGAAACATGGGATGGGATGGGGTGGGGTGGGTGATAGAAAAGTTTAAGCAGACAAGATTAGAAACCATCTGTCATACCATTTCAAAAGAAGAACCTCACCTAGTACCAAAACTTTCTCCACCTGAGAAACCCAAAACTTCCTTAATGGGGAACAGAGACAAGGACTGTCACTTTTATTGGCCATATAGCTTTTTAAAATGCAGATGTTGGACTGGAGGTGTGGCTCAGCGGTAAGGCACTTGCCTAACATGTATAAGGCTCGGAGCTCATCACCAGCACCACCAAAAACAAACAAATAAATAAATATTAACTAACTTTTCGATTACATTTAACAGCTTACAAAACACTTTCAAATGCACCCCTCCACTTAGTCTTTGTGACCACTCTGGGAGGTAGTGGGAGACAGATATACTTTATTTACTGATAAGGATATTGAAGCTCAGAGCAGTTAATAAAATGTTCCCAAGGATTGCACAGCTAGTAAGAGGCTGAGGAGAATTTTTTAAAATGAAAGTTTTATTGAGCTATAATTCACATGCCATAAAATTCACCTTTCTAAAGGGTAAAGGTAGGTCAACTTGTAACTTACTCTTCTTTCATATATTCACAAAGTTGTACAAGTATTGTCACTGTCTAATTCCAGAATATTGTCATCATCCCAAAAGAAACTCTGCATCTGTTGGTAATCCCATCTTATTCCCTGCTCATCACAGCCCCTGACAACCTTAATGTACTTGGTGTCTCTAGGAATTTGCATGCTCCCAACATCTCATCTAAATGGAATCACACAATATGTGACCTTTTGAGACTGCCTTCTTTCTCTTAGCATTGTAGTTTCAAGATTCATCCATATTGTAGCATGTAACAGCACTTCCTTCAGTACTACTCCATTGTGTGGACTGTATCACATTTGGCTTATCCTTCTATTTTTATTGATGGACATTTGAGTACTTTCCATTTTCAAGCTATTATGAATAATGCTGCTATGTTCAAATATCTGACAAGTCCCTGCTGTCAGTTATTTTGGGTTTATACTTAAAAGGTGGTATTTCTGGGTCATATGATAATTGTGCATTTAACTTATTAAGCCATCACAACAGCAGCATTATTTTACATTTCCACCAGCAATGCACAAGGGTTACAACTTCTCCACACCCTTAACAATAGTTTTTTCAGCTTCATGAGGTTGTTTTTTGCTGCACAACATTTTTTTTATTTTGACAAAGTCCAATTTATAGTTTTCTTTTTTTGCCTGTGTTATTGATGCCATCTTTAAGAAACCATTGCCTAATCCAAAATCACAAAGATCTACTTGTATATTTTCTCCTAAAAGTTTTATAGTTTTAACATTTACATGAAGATCTCTGATCCATGTTGAGTTAATTTTTGTTTATGATGTGAGGTAAGGACTCATCTTCATTCTTTTGCTTGTGGATATTCATTTGTCTTAGCACCATTTGTTGGAAAGATTATTCTTTCCCCATGGAACTGTTTTGGCACCTTTGTCAAAATCAATTGGCCATAGATGTAAGGGTTTATTTTTGGGCTCTCACTCTGCTTGATTTATCTCAATGTCTGGCAGGTAGGATTTTAATCCAAGCTGTGTTCTACAAATCACACCTTTCTTTCCTTCTGCCACATAGGAATGCCTTTTATTACCCCATAAGGAAGTGTTTTTCAGAACAATAGCACAGACTTGATAGTCTATGAACACACTGGGAGGCTGCCTAGCTGGAGAGATAGAGGCCAAGGTCCTCATCTCTCTGCCTATTGGCTGCCTGGCTGCCAGGCTCCTGCAAGGGCTACAGCCCTTCCTGTTTCTGTCCTCCCCTTTGATCCCCTCTTTTCCCCTACTGGATTGGTAGAGGCCTTGCTTGAGGATTCTGGGATTGGGAACATATATACTATTTCCTTGTATACACAGCCAGCCCAAAGAGCAAGGGTGAGCAGGACCCTTCCTGACATCCATTGACGTCAGGAACTTTGACAGGTCTGAAGTTTAGCTTTACCCTGCTTACACGCTAGTAAGTTATCTTGTTTCAGTTCATGGATGCTGGCCGAAGAGAGGGAACTGCTAGGTCAGAAACAGAACTCTATTACTGACAGCACAGCCAGCAGCAAGGACATTAGTCTGTATGTACCGGCTTCCTTTGACCCTAAAGTTCAATGGGGATAAGGTGGTGGGCCCACACGGGTGCTGTGCGTGTTAGTGGCGTTTGGAGTTGGCTTGCAGCTGAGGAACACTGGATCAAGGACCCAGAGCTTTTTGTTTTTTTAGTCCTGTGGATTGAAAAAAGGGCCTTACACATGCTAGGCAAGTGCTCCACCACAGAGTTACACCTTCTACCCCAACCCTCTAGCATTTTTGGAGTCAGTAAGCGCTCTGTAGCGCCCAGCTAAGCTCCTCCCCACTGGGAGTGTACAGATACGTAGTGGCCAAGCTGCAGCTCCTTGAGAAACACTCAGTATCAGACAGGGATAAGCCTGTGTTCTGGCACATTGAGCAAAAATTTGCAGGGATGCTCAGGGACCATGACTGGGGGAAGGCCTTTACCTGCGTCACTTAACCACGAAGATCAGGGGTGCCCCTACAAGTGGGGGGCCTTCAGAAAGGGCATGTGGCTTGCTCAGGGTGACACAGGAAGGCCAACCCTAGCATTCAGGCTTCCCACCTCCTTGTCCAGTGATTTTTACCACCATCCTCTGTCCTTGGAGGTTTCTTGGGGGCATCTGGACTCTTTGCAACAGATGGGCCTCACCAGGAACAGCTGGGACAGGAGGGGAGGAAGAGCCCACTGCTTTGCTTCTCTTTGTTAGCCCAGGTCACACAAGAGGGAGGAAGTCATGGTGTATGACACCCACTGTGTCAGATTTGGTAGCAGAAGTGGGATTTAAGAGGCTGATCATATAATTACCATACACAGTGAGTCTCTGAGTGGACACTGGGTTTGTCTACTTGAAAAGCATAGAGGAGGTGGGTGAGTCAAATGGTAGGTCTGTGGAGCTCAGTGCTAAAGAAAAGACTTACTCAGTGCCCCTACAAGTGGGGAGCCCATGTCCAGGCCTCCCTCCTGCTTCCATGCCACTTTGCCCTTTCCTCCAGACACCAGTGATTCTCCAAATCCCCACTTCTTCTGAGAAGCCTTCCCAACCCTCCCCAGGAAAGCATGGGCCCCACCTGACTCCTCAACCCTCCCTAGTTGTACTCCCTGAGGCCCCAGAACACACAGTGAGTAGATGTGCTTTGCCTACTGCATCCCTGAGTTGAGATAGCCTCTCATCTGTGGGCTCCCCAGGCAAATCCATTCCTGGCCAAATGCAGAGCCTGTATTCAGACTTGGTGGGGGGGCTCACTGAATGCTATTACATCTGTCTCTCCCTCCCCTCCCTTTCCCCAGCTCTTCCCTACCCCACTGCAGACTCTCTCCAGGAAGATTGTGCGGTCCAAGATGAACAGCACCCTGGTTGGGGTGTTCACCATCACCCTGGTGTTCCTCTCAGCTTTTGTCAACATGGTGGGTGGCTCCATGTCCTCCTGGCAACTCTCCAGCCCCATGGGGTCAAACCCAGTGGAGCCCTGTAGCCAACAGGCATGGGCTAGGAAGTCTTCTGGAAACTGCTATTCATGTTCTACCTCATGTCTGGGAGCAGATTTGAATCTTATATTAGCATCTCACCCGAGCTTTTAGTTCCTTACTCTCAAGGCTGAGAGAACACAGGGACGTCCCCAAGGCAGGTTTAAGGGCCCCGTCTCAGGAAGGCACACAGCCACGCCCTCCCTCCAGAAAGGGCATTGGGCAAACCTTGCCTGGCAGTCTCTTTCAGGCTCCTCTTTTGTCCCAGTACGTGTGCAGCTGCTCCTGAGACAGGGTGGACCAACCTGGTGCCCAGGGTGACCAATCCTCACTGCCCTCCTCCCCACCCCAGTTCATGTGCAACTCCAAGGATCTAGTGGGCTGCCTGGCAGAGGAGCGCAACATCACCGAGAACCAGGTCAACGCATGCCATGTGGTAGAGTCGGCCTTCAACTACAGCTTGGGTGATGAGCAGGGCTTTTGTGGCAGCCGTTGGCCCAACTGCAACTTCCCCGAGGTATGGGGTGGGTAGGGGCTGGGGGCGGGAGCAGAGAAAATCCTACTGCTGTTCCCCACTCTGCCCAGCTGCCCTGAGCAGTCTGAGGGAAGGTCCGAGGCCAGCAGCTCACTGTTGTTCCAGAAACTTCCTTCCCCCAACCTCTCTCACACCATGTGCTGACCCTGGAGAACAAGGGCGCAGCCTCCTCAGCATAACAATAACAACGATGACAACATGGCTGTGTGCTGTATGGCACATACCGAGAGCTGTACGTGCAGCCACTCATTCAGTAGTTTTCAGTGAGTTCACTAATTTGTACAGACATCCCTAAAAGGAATTTTGTACCTGCAGGCACTGGGTTTGAAAAACAATGCCAAGAATCTTGGTTGCGAGAATGGCATCTAAGATGCTTCAGCCATCTTGCTCATTCCTCTTCCAGCAGTGGCAACAAGTGGTAGAGCCAGGCTTCCATTGGTGTCCACTCCTCGCAGTGGCCATTCTCACGCTGCAGCCCCCTGTAGGTGCTTACATGAACCCTATATGGAGATGGCAGCTCCTGCCCTTCCCTGGGGAGAAGATCTATCTGTGCTTTCATCTGCTTCCCTGAGGTCCTGACTCACATTAAGAGCTCAGAACAGCAGCAGAAGGACCCTGGAGGCTGTCACAGCACTGGCTTCCCTCCCCCACCTTGGAAAGGAGCCTGATCATTTTCCTGTTGTACAGACAGGGCGATGAAAGCCCAGGGAGGCAAGGCTGAGCTGCATTCACTCAGACAGGCATGTGCATCTCCTTCCTCTGAGGCCATGCTGCATGGCAGCCTAGGTGGCAGGCCGGCCTCGAGGCCAGCATCCTCTGCTCCCTCATGGGTCCTCTCACATCCGCTGGGAGCCACAGGAGCAGCGCTCTGCTTCCCAAGGGCAATTTGCCCAGAAGCAGAGGCTGTGTTTGGTCTACTTGTCCCTTGTTGGTCACCCTGTGGGAGAAGCTGGGCCTGGGGGAAGTAGGCAATTAAGAGTATGTTCCTCCTCCAGGTGGGTGATGGCCAGCCTCAGTCCTTCCTAGACTCATTAGCATCAGGTCCATTGACCCTGCTGGTTGCAGAGCTCAGGATGACCACTTGGCACAAGTGCACCAGTTAGCCACTCCCCACAGACCTAGGCCTTTGGGGACCCCCATATTAAACCTGGGCTTCCTGGTTGCTTGGGCCCCCAGTCTGAATGGGAGTCCAGGCTGGTTCATGGGGGCCCTTTCTGCCTCTCACAAGGATAGGTCACTGGAGCTGTGGGGCTGAGTTATCAGGGCATGCCCTCCAGCTCCCTCATCTGTCTCAGATATTGATGGTGACTTGAGGCTGGCCCCCATGCCTATCTAATCACCAGGGGGCCTTTGGCAGTCCCTCCCTTGTCTCCTGAAAGCCTCCTGGGGAGGTGAGGGTCCAACCTGGGGCTGCCTACTTCCAAGTGTCATCATGTAGCTCCCAGCTAAAGGCAGATGCAGTGTGGAAATAGTGAGTCCAGAAGCCTAACTCAGCAATAACAGTGCTAAATTAAAAAATAAAGAACAAAGTAATAGATGCTGGTATGTCTACGATTAGCATGAGGGGATGAAAAAGCAAAAGGAGATCAGCTGGTTTGGCCCCCTTAGTTGTGTAAGAAGGAAACAGGCTCAAAGACCAGAAGGGACTTTGGCAAGGTAAATAATACGTGCTACCCACAGGCCCTCCTCAGAAGCCTTTCAGATACCAAGGTATTTTGGACTGCAAAATTTTCCAGATTTGAGGAGGTTGCTTCACACACCCCAGAAGAGTCTGGGCAGAATCTGACAGTGAAACAGTCATATTTCTGCAGCCAAAAGTATGAATAGCCCAGGAAACAGGATAAAGATGGTAATTAACATCGTATCAGTTAGGCCAGGTTTCGCCACCAAGTCAGATTAGTTCAGATGTAGCCCTCACATGAATTATGAAAACACTTTTCAGTTTTTAGAGCTGTAGCTTTCAGAGCTACAGATCAGGCTGGGGACCTGCATTTCCCACAGTGACTAGAGTGCAAGGCACAGTGCCAAGAGCTTCACCTCATGTGATGAGCACAGCAAACCCCAAGAGATGGGAAGTTGTGCGTACGAAGAACCCTAGCTTGCAGGGATTAAGTAAGTGGCCCAAGGCACATAGCCAGTCCGCAGTCATCAGGAATTAACCAGGTCAGCCTGAGCCTGGAGCCCTGCCTCCCATTGGCCTGTGTCATCCTTACTGGCCCACTTCAAACTAGAGCCCCATCTCTTGGTACCCAGCCAGGCTCTTCACATTACATCTCATCTGTTGGCAGGCTTACAAAAATGTTCCCAAATCACCCTTCACCTGAGGGAAAGGAAGGGCTGCAGTGGGCGGGGCCAGGGTGGAACCTAGGGAGCTGATGCTGCTGCCCTTTTCTCCACAGTACTTCACCTACAGTGTGCTGCTCAGCCTGCTGGCCTGCTCTGTGTTCCTGCAGATCAGCTGCATCGGGAAGCTGGTGCTCATGCTGGCCATTGAGCTCATCTATGTACTTGTCGTTGAGGTGCCCAGTGTCACACTCTTTGACAATGCTGACCTGCTGGTCACCGCCAATGCCATGTATGTGACACTTCCCCCACTCCCTACTGGGCCCTGGGCCCGGGCACTGCAGGGAGGCAGGGAGAGCTGGATCCTGGGGTCCTGGCATCACCAGGAAGCTGCAAGGACAGTGTCTTGTACCTCCCCATTTCTGGCCACCTGGACCAAAGCACCACAGGGTCTTGCTTCTTCCCCCTTCTCTCATCCCTGTCCTGGGAGGTGACCTCAGAGTGGTCAGGCCCCACTGCCTTTCTGCCTCCAGTTAGCTACACACTGCTGACCTCAGTCAGATCTCAGTGAATTGACCCCCCCACCCCGCTTTTTGGGAAGAAATCATCCATTCATTTGCTCACCCATTCATGCATTCAGAGTTATTTATTTATTGAGGGCCTGCCACGTGCAGGCACTGAGCCAGGCAATGGAGGGACAATCGGGGTAGAATAGATAACCCACCAGAAGTGTCCCTGTCTTGTGAAGGGAGCAACGCCTGAGAAAATGAAGGATCTGAGTAAGATTCAGGCAGAACTTCTTGGCAGTTGTGCAGAGCTAGGGTAGATGATAAGCACTGTGCCATCAGGAGCATTGCAGGTTGCCCTCCTGTGAGGAGGGAGTCCAGGGCCTTTTTACCTGTACATCAGGGCTGGAGCCCAGGACTGTGGCCTCTCTTTCCTGCTCCTTCCTGCCCAGCTTCTCCTCCCACTGCTGAAGAGAGCAGTGGACAGTGGAGGTCACTGCTGTTTCTGGAGATGCTGCTTTGGCTCTAGGGCAGGCGTCCAGTACACAAAATGCAAGCCACGTGTAAACCAGTTGCCATTATTAAGGGAATACTTTACCTGTTCCACACTACCCACAGCCTGGTGCTCATTTACATGCCACACACAGTTTAACTCGCACTAGCCCTATGTGGCCAGCAGCTGCCACAAGGGACCCTGCAGGTACAGGGCTTCCCCTCTCCTCCCTCCGGATGGCAGCACAGGGCTGGGAGGGACAGGTGGGTGTCTGTCCAGGTGAATGGGTAGGGCAATTGGGCAGACAGGGTCCCAGGTGAGAGCTGGGTGATTTGCAGTCAGGGTGACCAGATGCTATCTGGGATGGGCTTTTTTAACCCTCCCGGCTGGGAGTATGCTTGGATCCTGAGAGGTGCTGGGTGAGGGGCCAAGAGCAGCAGTAGTGAGGGCAGCAGAGCAGGGATTTAGCAGGACAAAAGGGGCAGAGAACAGAGCATGGGAGGGCAGGGCATTGGGCTGGGTTGTCCTGGAGACTGCCTCAACAGTCTCCCCCAACTTGTGTTCGCAGAGACTTCAGCAACAACGGGACCTCCCAGTGGTGAGTGGACACTCTTTCTTTGATGGAGCACAGAGGGGACAAAGAAGGCCACTGGTGCCCAGGTGGGAGGGACATTGTAACAGGGTAGGCAATGAAGGAGGAGGCTACAGCAGACAGGGAGGCTGTCTTCTCCAGGGGTAGCAAGGGGCCTTAATCAGGTAGATGCTCTGCTTTTTTGTTTTGATTTCCACCATCCCTGGGTGATCATTAGGACTAAGATCATCATTTTAAAGCAGTTAGTACCAGGCTCTTCCCTGGGAGTGAGCACGGCCAGGCACGGAGCAGGAGGTAGCACTTACTTTTCCTCCTGGGAGCGTGCTCTGCGGGACTGGGCCCGCATCTAGGACTGCTACAGATAGGGAGGCACCTTGCAGCATTCAGGGTTTGGACTTTGCTTGTGCAGGTGCAGGTTTACAATGACAGCTTTTGTAAGAGCATGCGTCAGTGTTAGCAGGAGTATAAGTAGACAGTCATAGAGCCCAGCATGGTGGTGCACTCAGCATTCTGTACAGAGTATCTTAATCCTTGCCACAATCTTGAAATGTGTAGAGAAGTTGTTACGAGGCTTGCCCAAGGTTGCTCAGAGATGGGCAGAATGGCCTTCCTGGCTTCCTTGTTCTTGTGCCCACTGCCCCTGTCTTGTCCATTGAGAAGGACCTAGGATGCACCGGTTTGCTTTGTGGAAGAGCTGAGTTCATCCCCTGAGGTGACCAGAGGGCAGCACCTGGTGATAGGGAGTAAAGCAGCTGGTGCTGCAGGAAAACTTCCTGGAGGAGGCAACACCTCAGGCAGTTTGAGCAGGAGGGGGAAGAGGAGGAGGAGCTACAGGAAGAAGACATGTGTGAGGTGCTAGGGTAGACTCAGGTCTGTCCACCTTGTACCCACAGCCCTGAGCATGCGACTAAGGTGGCACTGAAGGTGATGACGCCCATCATCATCTCAGTCTTTGTGCTGGCCTTGTACCTGCATGCCCAGCAGGTGGAGTCCACAGCCCGCCTCGACTTCCTCTGGAAACTGCAGGTGGGTGGCCCCAGGCTGGAGCAGGGTGGGGAGGTGGCCAGGCCTCACAGCACTCAGGAATGAAAGGTTGAAGGAGCCAGCACACGGAGTGAACTGGCCCACACTTTGCCCGTACAGGCAAAGTGTCCTGTTCCAGTCTCATCCAAGCTGACTGCTGCCCCCCTGTATCCCAGTGGGTCTGCTCCTATCTCTCGGGCGCAGGTGACAAAACCCTAAAACTTATTCCAGATCCACCCACCCTGGACAGTCTTGGGATGGGACTATTGACGGACCCAGGAGGTGTGCTTTAGGGTCAGCAGTACTGACTTGTGTCCACAGGCAGATGTGGCAGGTCAGTTTGTGGTGGGCAGCAAGGCATCCTTGGGTGGGGAGGAAGAGGGAACGGGGGCGGGGGGGAGGGGGGAAGAGGAGGGGATTGGAGGGCCGGCAGGAGCCTGGCCAGGGCTTGATGTGGCCACAGCTAGTCATTAAGGCTCCTGCAGAGGAGGAAGGACCAAAGGCATCATCAACAGGAAAACCCAGCTTGGCAGCGGGGGCTGAAGCAGTGTGGTGATCAACACCATAATTCTGACCATTGCTGGGTACACAGGGCAGGGGTGGGGGACTGAAACACAGCCAGCGTTTGGCTCTGCAGGCTACATGCCCTGCAGAGTGATAGTGTCCTCCTGGGGAAAGGGAAGCGATGCCCACAGGCCAGGCAGAGAAGTAGCCCTGTGGCCTCTTGTTACCTGTTGGACCACTTCAGAAGGGCCATGAGAGGGCACCAAGGGCACTCACAGGAGAAGGCTGCCTCAGACCTTTGAGTCAGCCCCTCCCACGGCTTAGCCAAAACCTGTCCTCCTTGCCTCTTTTGGTCCCACCCTATCTCCAGATCACATCAGCTCTTACTTAGGCCTCCTCCATTCCAGATTTTCTTTCTCTTAGTATCATGAATTTTTTTTAAAAGAATATTCGTCGTAGCAGTTTTTGTTTTATTTTCAGTACTGAGGACTGAACCCAGGGCCTTGTGCATGCTAGGCAAGCACTCTAACCCCAAGCCATGCCCCTAGTCTATTGTTTGCATTTTGTTCTTGAAGTGGGGTCTCACTAACTTTCCAGCCTGTTCTCAAACCTGTGATCCTCCTTCCTCCACCTCCTGAGTAGCTGGGATTGTAGACATGTATCACCACACCTGATAAAAATTAATTATACAAAATATGGGTTTCATCATAATACTTTCATACTTGCATACTTTGTTCTTCAATCATATTCACCTTCCTCTGCCCTCTCTTATCTTCCTCACTCCTTCCAAATAGATAGTCTTTCTGTTTTCATATGTTTTTTTTTTTTTTGGTGGTGGTGGTACTGGGGTTTGAACCCAGGGACTGGTGCTTGCTTGACTGCACTCTACCATTTGAGCCATACCCCCAGCCCTTTTTTGCTTTTGTTATTTGAGCAGAGGGACTCACGTTTTTGCCCAGGGCCATCCTTGGACAGCACTTCTATGATCTATAACTGCCATGTAGCTGGAACCATAGGCATGCACCAACATAGATGGCTGATTTATCATAATGGGATCTTGCTAACTTTTTGCCCAGGCTGACCTCAAGCCATGATCCTCCCATCTCTGCCTCTCTAGTAGCTGGAATTACAGATGTGAGCAACCAACCACACCTGGCCATTAAAAAACCAAAACCAAAAACCAAAAACAAGAAACTCTAGACTCCACATATGAGAGAGAACATGTGATATTTGTCTTTTTTCTTTTCTCATTTTGTTTTTACATTTACTTACATGTGTATACATTGTGCCACCTCCCCTTCCCCCCCATATTTATCTTTCTGAGTCTGGCTTATTTCACTTAACATGATGATCTCCAGCTCCATCCATCTTCTTGCAAAAAAAAATGACATAATTTCATTCTCCTTTATGATCGAATACTCTATTATGTATGTATGTATGACACTTCTTTTTATCCATTCACCAGTTGGTGGGCACCTTGGCTGATTCTATGACTTGGCTATTGTGAATAGTGCTGCAATAAAAATAGGTGCACAGATGTCTCTAGTGTATGCTGACTTTCATTCCTTCCGGTACATGCCCAGGAATGGTATAGCAGAATCATATTGTTCTATTTTTAGTTTCTTGAGGAACTTCCATATTGATTTCCATACTGATTGCGCTAATTTGCTTTCCCACCAACAGTGCATAAGTGTTCCTTTCGTCTGCATCCTCACCAGCATTTGTTGTTATTTGTTGGCTTGATGGTAGCCTTTCTGACTGCATCTCGACTTCTATCAATGTCAAGACTGAAGTTGGAGGGCTGAGGCACTGGGCCCTGGCTTTGGTTGGATGCCAAGTGAAGATGGGACTTCTGGTTGCCCCTTCTGTAGGATTTGTTGCATGGGGTCTATTGTGGGGTGCCCTGAGGCTGGGGGACCCAAGGACAATGCCACATGTGGAGTGCTGGTCCTAAAGCCCTGGGCTAGTCACAGCAATAGCCAGTGTGCCTTCCCTGCCCAGGTGCCTCCCTTCTGCCACCCCTCTCCTTTGAGGAAGTTCCTGGAGGCTCCAGCACACTCTTAGGGGCTGACCAGGTTCTGGAGACCTGGAGCCCATGTCTCTCCACATCTCTGCCTTCACCTCCCCCTCTTCCTGGCCCCCCAGGAAGCCTTACCCAAGATGGTTGCATCTTGGTTGTGTTGTAGAGGCCTCAAAAGCTTTCCTCAGCCCTGAAGTTCCTCCATCCCCACCTTGTTTTCCCTGAGCCCAGCAGTAGGGCCCCAGCCAGGGTGTTGAGGTCCTGAGGATCCAAAAGGTATGAGGAGGTCTCTGTTCCTCCTGCAGAGCCGAGAGCCAAGGCTTCCCACTCTTGGTCGTGTTCCAGACTGAAACAGCCATATCCCCAGGTCTCTCTACCATAGCAGCAAGGGCTGTGTTGGGGACAAGAACAAGAATTCTGTCCCCCTGGTCTGAACCCAAACCAGCATGCCCTCCAGTAAGCAAGACTCCAGTCCTTCTTAGCCACTCAGTGCTCCTCCCCTGCCCATCTGCAGCTCTGTGGGCACTTGTATTCTTAGCCTGGCCACAGTAACAGCTTTTTTCCACTGCTATGTCTTTCCTCTCTGACCTCCTCCCTCTACAGGCCCTCACTCACTTCCTCCATCTGATCTGTTTTTAAAACCCACAGAAAGTTGCGTGAACAGCATAGAGAAGTCCAGAAGTCCCTTTGCTGTTTTGCTCTTTTGGTTTTGTTGCTCCCATATATTTTCTGATGCCTGTCACCCCCTGGACGCACCAGTGTCTGTCTTCCAGGAACAAGGACGCTTCTTGCATCACCCATGCACCCACCCCATCAGGAGATGCGCAGTGGCGCTCACAGGCCGGTTCACACAATGCCAGCTGGCTCAGTACTGGCCCGGGACTCTCTCCAGGAGCACTCTGCATTTAGTTGCCTCCTTAGTGTTTGCCTACCTCTCAGTCCTTGCCAGTCTTAAAGAACTTGTTACTCTGTATCCTTAAGAGCACATGCAGGCTGTGCCCTCACAGAGGAACTCCAGGGAAATGGAGCTGATACTGCTGGGAGCCCCGTACTGCTCGACTCCACCACATTGGCCATCGCACCGCCAAGCTGACCTTGCTCATCTACTCTTGTTGCCCTTGGCCACATCTCTCCACTGTGTCACATTTGCATTTTGTAGAAAGATAGTCTGTGTTATAACGGTTTTGTGATCCTCAGCAAGTTTCCACCACCAGACCTCTGTATCTCTTGACTCCTGTCTGTCTTAGCCCACAAAAGATGCCAACTAGTGATGCTCTGTGTCCGTCCATCCTTCTACACTTGTTTGGTGACATTCTCCTTTATGGAAGGACCCCCCCACCCCCATTGATTTGCTTATTCATTCACTAATTTGTATCGGCACCGACTCATACATAGATTTCTTCATCCAGTGGGTTGTAATCTGTCCTCTTGCTGTTTGTTTTAGTGTTCAAATTGCCAAGGTTTGGCTGGTGTGCATTCTTCAAGCTGGCGTCTTGTCATTTGTTATGTCTCATCATTCCTTGAGCATTTCCTGACTTCCTGCCACAATGAGATGACTCAGTTTATCTGGGACTTTCCCTGCTCCAGGCCAGCACCCAGTAACTCCTTCAGAGAGCCCTCAGTCTTCTTAGAGGAGAAGGCTATTTAGGAACTAAGATCCAAGCGCTCAGTGGCTCATTGCTTCTGGGTCCTCCATGGATAAAGCTGGGAAACTTTGTCAGTGGATATGAGCATACGCAGAAACATTTGTGTCCATCTGTATGTATGTGTCTGTACTCCTACAGCATCTGTATGTGTACATATATTTTAAAAAATTTGGCGGAGCACCAGTGGCTCACGCCTGTAATCCCAGCTACTCAGGAGGCAGAGATCAGGAGGATCATGGTTTGAAGCCAGCCCGGGCAAATAGTTCACGAGACCCTATCTCAGAAAACCCTACCACGAAAAATTGGGCTAATGGAGTGGCTTAAGGTGAAGGCTCTGAGTTCAAGCCTCAGTACACAAAAAAAAAAAAAAAAATTCTGAGTTCATGCCAGTACCCATTTCAGTGCAGTACCTCTGGATTCTCTCTAGCCTTCCCCCATTCTGGGCTTGCTGGTGCCATCCTGGCAGTGAAAAACCCACCTCCCTTTCTTAGATTGATTCATTTGCTCAGAAGCACCAATTTCTCAGCCTTGCAGCCCCCCTCTCTCCCCTTCGCCTCATCCCTCTCAGCTCCCTGTTCCCTTGCATGCTGGATCATGGCCCCTGGTCACTTGGCTCTGAGGGCTCCGCTGGGAGGGAAGCCAGCGTCCTCTGCCTCCAGCCTGTGTCAGCCCCTTTCCATTGCAGCTGCCTTGTGGGCTCCCGATGCTGGCAGGCTCCTCTGTCTTCCACGCTTCTTCTGGGCTTTTGAGAGCTGGAGGACTACATCCAGCAATAAACAGAAACTTGAAACAGGCCTTGGGTTAGGGAAGTGCTCGTCACTGTCACCCTCCAGGCTCACCCAGCAGCTCCTTTGCTGTTGGATCCATCTGTTGCCCTGGTGGGATGAAGTGTGCTAATGGAGGACTGGCCCTGATGCCTCAGTTTTCCCAAGAGCCTGCACCAGGAACATACCTTGCCCACACGACCTTTCTTGGGCTGAACCTGGCTCTCAGTTCTTGGGAAAGTTCACCCTTGTCCCCTTCTCCAAAATTGGCCTTGATAGGGCCACCTAGAGGCTGTAGACCCCTGAGCTTTCCTGCCAGGGCTTGACCCCAGTTGGCAGCTGCCCAGCCTGTGTTTGGGTGGAGTTTCCCAGGTATGGTTGGAGTGCCTGGTGGGCTCAGGGGATTGACAGTAGTCCTGTCTCGTGACCCTGTCCCCAGCCTCACACCACTGTGCCTGACACTTCAGGCAGATGCTCTCTAGGGAGGGCATGTGTCTAATTTCTGCTACCTACTGGGCAGATCAAAGAAGCTGGAGAGCTCTGGGGCTCCCTGGGCCTCTCAGGGGCTAGGCACATGGTCTGAGCAGGTAGTGGGAGCAGGACAGACAGTGGTCTGGTGTGTTGTCAGAGACAAATGGTCAGGCTTCTCCATGGGTCAGCCTGCAAGGAGAAATACAGGGACTCCCACTCCAGCCTTCTCCCTAGGACAGCTTTTTCCAGAGCCAGGAGCAGGCGGCCATTATTCATGGGGAGGGACATGGTCAAAGTGCCCGTCTCATGGGAGCATAGGTCACCCAGGCTGGAAAGCTGAGCAGGAAGATGGTGCGTACCACTGGACTCATCTGGCTCCTGAGAGTGGTGGTGGGGAGGCAGGGCCCCTCAGGGTGTTGGACCTTCCTCAGGTGTGACTCTGATCTCACCACATACTTCCAGTGGCTCCTGGAGGCCACCCAGCTGTGGGGAGTATGAGGACAGGGTTTGTGGCTGAGCCTGATCTTCTGCCCTGGGGCTTTCTGTCTCCATTGAACCCAGGTCCTATAGCCATGGGAAGGTGCCAGCTCCTTCCCGTGGATGGCCACTTTTCATAGGGCCCTGAGAAGCTGTCCTGGCCTCTAGTTGCAGCCAAATGGAAAAAGGTCTATATTTAGTTGGGAAAGGACCAGCCAAGGCACCTAGATCTTTTCAGGCCCTGCTAGTGATCCTTTCCCTGCCTGCTTCACCAACATGGCCACTCCTAGCCAGAGGACCCTTTCATCACCCATCAAGGGTGGGGAAGGCAGCTGTGATCCCTCATCCTGTGGCCACTTTAGTCAGATGGTTTCTCACCGCACCTCAGCGGTGTGTAACAGCCTCTCTGCTTTGGCCTGCCTGGTACACAACTATCCTCTTGACCCAAGAGCTCTGCCCTGTCCCTTAATCTGGGAGGGTAAGTGACTATGCATAAACTGTAGATCCAGGACCCAAACTGTGGAAAAGCAAAGTCAACTGTGGTGTCTCCTTGCCACCTCTGCTGGCTCACTGGCTGTGCCTGGCTCTGGAGCAAGTCTGCTGTCATGGGAATCAGGCATGGGCAGGACTCTGGCTGTTCTCCCCTGGAGGTCAGTTGGTTAGAGTAGCCCTGGCCAGATTGCTTTTCTGATTGCATTTCCTGATCTAAAGAGAAAGACAAAAGGTAGGGAGCCCTTAGGAAGCCAGAGAGCTGTTTGGATTGTGGATTTGGACCATGGCTTTCCCCTGCTTTCTGGTTCCAGTCTTGGGCAGATAGGATCCTTTCAGCCTTTGCTTCGGACCTGTATCTCCCCTGTGCCTGGCTCCTCCAGCATCAACCCCCATGTGCATCACTTTTGCAAGGGGCAGGCAGGGAGGGTTAGATGCCTACCAACATCTTTTTTTGCCCATGGTCATACTCTTTAGAGAGCTTGGAAGTAGAGAGCACGGGGAGAGATTGAGACAGGTGGGCACTTGTTGAAACCTTGGGCGTGTGCCGGCCTTAGCATGACTCTTGCTATCTTTTCTAAGTAGGGCTGTTGCTAGGGGCGCAAGAGCCTCCTTTCACCAGGTCCTCTGTCCCCAGGCCACAGAGGAGAAGGAGGAGATGGAGGAGCTGCAGGCCTATAACCGGCGGCTGCTGCACAACATCCTGCCCAAGGACGTAGCTGCCCACTTCCTGGCCCGCGAGCGGCGCAATGACGAGCTCTACTATCAGTCCTGTGAGTGCGTGGCCGTCATGTTTGCCTCCATTGCCAACTTCTCCGAGTTCTACGTGGAGCTGGAGGCCAATAATGAGGGTGTCGAGTGCCTGCGGCTGCTCAACGAAATCATTGCCGACTTCGATGAGGTGCTCCCCAGGGTCCCATGGGTCCCCATTGCCCCCTGCCTCCACCGGGGTGTGACCACTGATGACTCTGATGACAGGAGCCTGGCTGTGTCCTAGGTGCTGTCATAGGCACCATGCACATGTTACAGATGAGAAACTGAGATCCTCCCTCACCCCCAAACTTTAAGTGTCCTGCCTAAATTTACTTCCCATAAGTGCCAGAACTTGGATTTCACCCCAGGCTATTGAACTTAAACCTTCGGGGATCCAGGCCCTGGGATAGCCCAATGTCTGTGCCCAGGAATTTGAGACTCTGCTCTAAGGCAGCTTGGTGACTGGGGTTGGAGGAAGGAGGCTGGAGGGTTTCCAACAGGGGTGGGAGATAGGAAAAGGATGTCTCGCTAGACAAAGATGGGGAGGTTTCCCTGGGAGGGGAATGTAAGCCACTAAACAGGGAGATAGCTGCCCAGCCTCTTTTTGGGGATGTGGCCCAATGGTGACCAGTGACCTCAGGGGCTCTTGGTGTGGTGATAGGCAGGTCAGCCACCTGTACATTGTCCTACTGTGGAAAACTGGCTTTGCCACAGAGCATCAGGGGCCTGAGTAGGTGCCCCCATTGGGTGAAGAGGGGACACATTGGGGGGGCCATGCTGCTGTGCTTCCTCCCACATCCACCATCCCTCCCTGTGGACCTCAGTGGTCTAGGCTTGGGGGTGACCCCGATTTGGCCTCCTTCTGTCCAGATCATCAGTGAAGATCGGTTCAGGCAGCTGGAAAAGATCAAGACGATCGGCAGCACCTACATGGCCGCCTCTGGCCTCAACGACTCCACCTATGACAAGGTGGGCAAGACACACATCAAAGCTCTGGCCGACTTTGCCATGAAGCTGATGGACCAAATGAAGTACATCAATGAGCACTCCTTCAACAACTTCCAGATGAAGATCGGTGAGGCGCCTGAGGGCAGAGGTCATGTGGGGGGCTACCTACCCCACCCTGCATCCGCTGTCGCAGCCCAGCTGCAGAAGGCGAGGTGGCAGAAGAGGCCAATATGGCAGTGCATTTCCCTGCCTAAAGGTGGGGGTCGGCAACTGTCATCACAGCAGACCCTGCCCAGGATGAGTTGATCTGTGGGGGACACAGGCAGGACTCCCTTTTTCTGAGCTCCTGCCTTGCCTATTCCCTGGGAAGGCCTGCTGGGAAACACACTGTGCCTGCCCCTAAGGTTCTGTGGGGACGCTCTGTGCTGGTAGCCCGGGGCCTTCTGGTGGCTTTGGGCAGATAACAGTACCCTTCATCTCTAGTAACAACTAACCTAGTCAACAGCATTGTGCTATTCAGACATATTCAAAATTCATTAAAAATGAAAAGCAGTCAAATCCAATACTTGCTACATTTTAGATACAAGATGTATAAACATGTTTTAGTTGTTACACTTAGAAATTTATAAAAATACTGAACAATATTCTGCAAAATTGTCAGTAAAATAAAAAGTGAAATATTTAAAAAAAAACTAAACATGAAAAGAATCAGGTAATAGTAACAAGGAAATGATTATATTTCAACTTTTTAAAGAACAGTAACCTTAAAAACAAAGTGTGTCAACTGGTGTATGTTGAGTTCCAGGTTGTGAGCAAAATCCAGCTGTTTGTAAAAGCTTTTGTCAGCCTGGTATGGTGGCTTATACCTATACTTCGGTCTACTTGGGAGAGGGAGACAAGGAGGCCATCCCAGGCAAAAAGTTTGGTAGACCCCAATCTCAACAAAGAAGCTGGGCATGGTGGATCATATCTATAATTCCAGCTATGAAGGAGGTATAAGTAGGAGCATCATAGTGTGATACTGGTCTTGGGGAAAGGCACAACACCCTACCTGAAAAATAAACCAAAACAAAAAGGCCTGGGGGCATGGTTCAAGAGGTAGCAAGTGCAATCTCTGAATCTCAGTACTACCACCACACACACACACACACACACACAATATATATATATATATATATATATATATATATATATATATATGCATGTAACCTTTGTCATCCATACATCCCTGAAGAGGGATGTGCTGAGGCAAGTCAGTGTGTCTTTGCTGGACTCCAGCTTTCCCTTATTGACTGATTCTGTGGTGTCCAGAGGCAGTGGTGCGGTTGAAGGAAAGGGGTGAGTGTGCTCTAAGCAGAAGCACTGGGTCAGTTTCAGAACAGTCAGGGCCATGTTCAACTTGCTCAGAAATCCTTGTACAGTTGAGTGTGATGGCACGCACCTATAATCCTAGCTACCAAGGAAGCTTAGGAAGGATCACTTGAGCCCAGGGGCTTGAGGCCAGTCTGGGGCTACAGATAGAGACTCTATCTCAAACAGCAACAGAAACACACACACACACACAAGTAACAACAAAAAGAAAATCTTTGAAACCAAAATACTTTCCTTTTTTGTATTTAATTTTGTTTTTATTATACAAACCTTTTATTTCAACAATTTCAGCTGTGCAGAAGAGTGGTAAGAATAGCCAGTGAAAACCCGCAGACATCACGCACTCTCCCAGCCCCTGCCCCACCCACCTCTGAATGTGCTACTCAGGACATTCCCCAGTGGAAGCTGTGCTGGGTGCGTTCTCCCCTCCCCTCGAGTTTTGTGGAAGCGGAAGATGCTTTCTGAAAGAGCAGATCTTTGTTCTATTCAAAAGTATCACGCAAAAAAGAAAACACAAACACACATATGAAAAAAAAAGAAAAAGTACAAAAAAAAAAAAAAAAGCAAGCAGTTTCATGCATTAGCAACTCCCTGGCTATGTCTCAAGTTATAAATGAGTCAGATTTTAGATCTTTAAAAAGTAACAGTAATTCACACAAAAAATACTGGCATTTCAATTCTCAAAACCAGCACATAAAACTCAAATGTTGGGTTACCAAAAACCAATACTGTGATCATTAATGTCCCCAGGAAACATTTTGTTCTAGCTGGAGTGTCAGGAATTGAGCTGTCCCTAAACACACTGCTTGTTTTGCCCTCTAAGCACAGTGCCTTGTGGACTTGACCAGATTTCCATTTGGCATTGGCTGCTAGAAAGCCCAGGCAGAGCAGCTGGGGTGTGCGGTGACTGGCGTGCAGCCTGGGTCTATGTTAACTTCATGTTTGGTGTTGTGTAATGTCGCCGCCCCCATCTTCTTCCCTGGCAGTGGTGTATATTTTCCTCCTGGTGTGTAATTTTTTTTTTTTTTTTGAGGTACTCTGGGTTTGAAGTCAGGGACTCATGCTTGCTAGGCAGGTACTGTACTGCTCGAGCCACTCCACCAGCCCCTGGTGTGTGTTTTTGTAAAGTGCCTCAGCAGCTTTATTGATCTAGGCTGGGGTTGACTGATGGGATCTGCCAAGAAGTTAGCTAAGGAGGCTTGAGGGGGCATCCATGCATACAGACTCAGGAATGCCTTCATTGTTTGGTGTGGCCTTTGGAAATAGTCAAAAGCCATCCAGTTTGGTGTGGCCAGTGAGGTGAACAGTCCAGCTTCCTAGTAGCATGTGGGGGAAAAAAGCCACATGAGATGTGACAGGACTTGGAGAGAGAAGAGACTGGGATGGAGAGATGGACTAGGAGCCAGATCTTAAGAATGAGAATGGTAGGAGAGAAATAACAGTGAGGAAGAGGAAAGGAGTGAGCTCTGTATATGCAATCTGAGTTGACAGGAAGATAAAGAAAAGGCAAGTTGTCACGCAGGAGGTCACTGGAGACCTTGAAAAGGGTACTTCTGGTAATAGACTTGTAAAGGCTGAGCATGGATCCGTGGTGAGGACACAGGAGTAGTGGATAGTGTGAAAAAGTTCCTGTTGTTTTAAATTAGCAAGAACTGATAGAGCAGAGAGGGACACAGCAGAGTGAAGGCTGGCCTCGGGCTGGAGCCACTGTCTCAGGCCAAAAGTCAGAGGGAGAACCTGCAGTTTGAACTCAGCTTTAGTATTTGCTAGGCAGGTGCTCTACCCCTTGAGCCATGCCTCCAGCATAGGAGGACTGAGATCTTCCTATTTTAGGCTTCCTGCTGTTGCTGGGATGACAGGTGCATGCCACCATTCCCAGCTTTTTCCCATGGAGGTGGGGCCTTGCACACTTTTTTTTTGCCAAGGCTGATCTGGAACTGCAACCCTCCAAAGTAGCTTGGGATGACAGGCATGCACCACTGTACGCAGACAAGCATCATTCTTAACCTGATGAGTGTCTCTGGCTTCTGTCCCCACAGGACTCAACATTGGCCCTGTGGTGGCCGGGGTGATTGGGGCTCGAAAGCCTCAGTACGACATCTGGGGCAATACAGTGAATGTGGCCAGCCGCATGGATAGCACTGGTGTGCCTGACCGCATCCAGGTGAGTTGCAAGAGTATCCACGGCATGTCACCACACAAGAGACCTCTGTTGATCTAGGAGGTCTGCAGAGCAGGCCCTTCGTTCCCAGTCATAATTTCTCTCCAAATCCGAGGATGGTGGGGCAGTTAGCCCTGAGTTCTGGAAGCCTGAAGGACACAATTGTTTCAGGCGCTCAGTACCTTGGACAGATCTTCAGGTCGTTGCAGCGCTCTCTGCTGGGCACTGAGGGAATCGGGTGGTGGAGGCGGAGCAGTGCTGCTAATTAAGCAAGCTGAGAGTGCTAATGAGCTGATAGCACTACCTCCCCAGTCCAGGCACAGTGAGCAGGGCATGGCCCAGTGAGCTCTCAGCTTTAGGGGCCTGGGTCAGGAAAATCACACAGGGCTACTGGCCCCTGGATGCTACACCCCCAGCAGCTAAAGACCTGTGACTTCTTCCCTTTCTCCATCCTGTGCAAGCTGTGCTTGGGCTCCCCAGGCCTGCTTGTCTTCACTTTTCTCACAACTTCCAGGATTCTTTTTGCTCTAGCCTGACACAAAGAGGCCCTGGACTGGGCTCTCACATTGCATTGTCCTCACCCACAGGTCCCTGTGAGGCTGTAGGAAGTCAACTTCCCTAGCCTTGGTTTTCTGCATTGCTAACTGTGCCATTTTAAAAGGCCTTTTGCCCACATTGACACTGCTTGAATGTCCCCTACAGGACTTCCAAGCCTCACTCTGGTCAGATCAACCAGCCTGGGTGGCTTTGTGGATTCCATCTGAGTTGCCAGGCCACATGGCCTTTTCCTACCTCCCGCTCCTGTGCCCAGGAGAGAAGGGATGGTTGGATGGGAACTAGAGTCCTGAAGAGGGGTGGGAAAGTCATGTAAATGTGCAGAGCTTCTAACCCACCCCGGGCCGGGTGTGAGGACTCTGCCTGCAGACCCCACAGGAACCAGCAGCCCTAGCTTCATGCAGAAAGCACAATTACTCACAAACTGAGCTCACCTTGACAGCCCACCCAGCCACTGCTACCTTATCTCTGGCCCCTCACAGCCAGGCTAGGTAGCTGTGTGACCAGCCAGAGCTCTGATGGTGCTCAGAATGGTTGTCCTCAAAGCTAAGGCAGACACACACACAAGATCTGGAACTGAGTCCAGGCTCTGGGGTTTATTAACTGTGGACCCACAGGCAAGTGATACAGACTACCCAGATGCTGGGGTTGGGAATAGTAGTTACCTCTAGAAAGAATTTGAGATAAGCAGTAGTCTCAAACTGTCTGTGGCAAAAACCAGTGTGTAGAAACCTTTCTGGTCTGTCCTGAGCAATGCTTCTGTGAGAAACCCTAGTTCCACACTTGGTTATCAGGCTTTGACAGCTCCTAAGCCCACCCACACCCCCTCTAGACTCCTTGTGGCCTGTGCACAAGCAGTTCATGGGCTGAAGGCCACTCTTCAAGTAGCTCAGAAGTAGCACATGAGGTGCTGGTCTCAGGGCAGGGCTGAGAACCACAGCTGTCTTCATTCTCTTTTCTAAGAA